GGCCTTCCAACAAATTTTACTCCATATTAGATAAATCTATAGTCACACCCACTTTGACGCGACTCTGGCATTATATGTTTCATAGACATGCATGGATAATGATTGTTTATGCAATCCTGATCCTGATAATGGTTGTATGTATGCTTGTGAAACACATGGTTTCAAAGTTGGTGTGACTATGATCGTGTGAAAAAACTAGAGGTGCGCAACACATGACACCATTGTCTCATAGACACAGAAAGTGGGAAATTGTTTGTTATGTAGTGTGCTCCCCTAACATGTTCAATGACTTTATGTGTGATTGGTTTTGAAACGGGTCCCTCAACATACAAATAGTTTCTCACAACGAGAGTGCACAATTGGCCGGTTAGGTTGGGTTTGAGAGAGTTCGGATATAAGTTCAAAATTGCATGTTCTTTATTCAATGTCATCATAATCGAATTGATTCAACGAGTATGGTTCTATAATGTTGTATAGTGCAACTATCATGTCATTTTCATTTTAATATGAGCATGTGATGAATAGAGCACATGTGATGAAGATGTTTTAGATTGACCAAGTGAGCATACCTATATTATATACTCACACATCAATAGAGCTAACAAATTGATTAAGTTTGGATTTAAAACTATACGTTCCTGATTCAATATCCTCAGATTGGGATCGATTGAGCGAGTTATGAAATTTATTTGGATTAAGTTATTTGTACACCAAAATTTGTATCATATTTTGAACTCCAAAGGCATTTAATGACATTTTGTGCTAGTGTGACGTGTTACTTTGATAAAAAATGTCAGTACAATTTCTTTTAAATTGAACCAACATTTTGTGTTAGTATAAATCATTAAAATATCGATATATTTCTTTGGAATACAATTTGGGGTAGACATTGGTATAGCCTTAGCTTGAATTAATTTTTAGAATAGTATTCCATATGCCCCCCTCGTGTCAATCCCATAAACAAAGATGTCAACTTTTTCCAAATAAAAAAGTTAGTGGAGTTACAAGACGCCGCATACATTCCCATTTCCCACCCATAATCAGCCGACGAATAAAGAAGACCAAGCACCCCCAATCCACCATCTCACAGTCACAGACGCGTCACCCCTGACTTATTTCAAATCTCATTCATAATTTATTTATACTCCGTATTAGCAATCCCAATTACAGTACTTCCTATAAATATCAATATACCGGAGTGGAGTTTCTCATATATCACAAAAATCATTCATTGTTCATTTCACCCATTTCTCCGGGTTGGTAGTTATTATTACTGAATTCGATTCGATCTGCATTGATTCTCCGGCCGGCCATGAACGCGCTCGCAGCCACCACCCGTAACTTCCGGCAGGCGGCCCGCATTCTTGGGCTCGATTCCAAAATCGAGAAAAGTCTCCTCATCCCCTTCCGAGAGATCAAGGTTGGCCATTATTCACGGTTCTACCCCTTTCTCATATCACCAGATTGTTGTTGTTATTATAACTGCTATGTGCAGAGTAGCATTAGAAGAAATTGAATGATTTTATTGTGTTCGCGGCGAGGAAATTCAGCTCAAAATTGAATGTTGTATGATTCGAATTTGATTTTGCTAATTTATTTGCTGGCGGCCTTATTGGAAGATGGATGGTTGGTGTTTGATGATCAGGTGGAGTGCACGATTCCGAAGGACGACGGGACGCTGGTGTCCTACGTTGGGTTTCGGGTGCAGCATGATAATGCCCGCGGCCCCATGAAAGGAGGAATCAGATACCATCCTGAGGTATTTGTCAATTAGGGACACTACTGACTCTATTCTTCTTGATTCCATTAGTATTTGATACTCTGTGTTTTTTAATGTTGGTAGCTCCTCCTTTTCTTTTGATGGATTCAAGCTAGTGTTAGGTCCGGATTCGACTGATTTCTACTTCTTGTTTCACCAGTATAATGTATACTCCCTCCGTTCCTCAAAAAGCTTCTTTATTTCACTTTCAACGGTTTCAGGAAAGTGTTGAAAAGTAAAATTTTTATAGTTTAGACTTTGTTTAGTGCAGACAAGTGATGTTTCTTTTGGGACAAATGAAAAGGAAAAAAGTGGAGTTTTTTTTTTGCAGGACGAAGGGAGGGTGTGTGTGTGTGATATATATATATATATACATATATGAAGATATATGATGTGATTTTGTATTGCTTTTTGAAGTATGGGCTGGTTCTTTTGTCACTCACCTTAAGTGTCATATTATGACACCGGCCATTTGAGGGACTACGGTGCTCCGTTCGGTCCTAAAGTGGGTCCTACCTCCTAACCTCACAAATACCCTGCCGTGCTCTGTACTCCCCAAGCCCTTGGAAAATGCCAAAATGCTACACTACCTGGGGACTCAGGCTGGGGTTTGTGGGGGTAGGACCTACATCGGGGCCAACAGAGCACAATAGTGCTTGGGTGTCAAAAGAAACGCAGGGATGAAGCATATATATCGATTAAATGTTTTGGTAGTAATAAATAGTGAATGATATTGTGAGGGTATGTATGTGTGAACTAGGTTGACCCGGATGAGGTAAACGCTCTTGCACAACTGATGACTTGGAAGAGTGCCGTGGCAGATATTCCATATGGCGGGGCCAAAGGTGGGATTGGGTGTAACCCAAAGGATTTGAGTAAGAGCGAGTTGGAGCGCCTCACGCGAGTCTTCACACAGAGGATTCATGATCTGATTGGTGTCAACACCGATGTGCCTGCTCCTGATATGGGCACTAATGCACAGGTCATCCTCAGTCTTTCTGTACAGTAATGATATTAATAAGTTTTAGGAGTTAAATTAATCAGGACAATAAACATATAATATTGATTGTTGTGATGTATTTGCAGACTATGGCTTGGATTTTGGATGAGTATTCAAAGTTTCATGGGCACTCACCTGCTATTGTTACCGGAAAACCCATTGTAAGTTACTTCATTTGGTTGCACTAATGCTGTGTTTGGAGCTCAGATAGTAGTGAAAAGAACAAAATGCACCAGGAATTTTTTTTTCTTTTCAAAAATGAGTTTGAAAAGTTATCCAAGATTAATTTATTTACTTTGAAGTGTATTTTTTTTTTCAATTTTGCCTCACCTTTTCTTTCCCTCCAGAATTCTTATAGATTTCCCCCCACATTTTCTTCCCAAGACATGTTTTGAGTTTTTTGTCCCATTATACTTATTGTACTATTTTAGCAACATTCCGAGAAACACTTGTTTTATAAGGTTGACACAAAATATAATTGTCTAATTATTTTAATATGATGTTAGGATCTCGGGGGCTCCTTGGGGCGAGAGGCTGCAACTGGGCGTGGTGTGGTTTTTGCCACAGAAGCTTTACTCTCTGAGTATGGAAAACCAATTAAGGACTTGACCTTTGCTATTCAGGTTAGCTTTTTACAAACTAAGGTTCTGTTTGGTTAAAAAACAGTATTCAGACAAGTCATTTCAGCCAGATAACTTCTACCAAACAGACTCTCTTAAAAACTCTTGGCATTTCATCATAATATCATGTTTTCTGTTAATGAAGGGATTTGGAAATGTGGGATCTTGGGCAGCAAGGCTTATACACGAGAGAGGTGGTAGGGTTGTTGCAGTTAGTGACATAACTGGAGCGGTCAAGAACCCTAATGGGATTGATATACCTGCTCTGATCAAGCATAAAGAGACAACAGGAATGCTAACTGATTTCAGTGGTGGGGATGCCATGGACTCAAATGAGTTGCTCACACACGAATGCGATGTTCTTATACCTTGCGCTCTTGGTGGTGTTCTTAACAGGTTCAGACACTAATTATGCCTCTAAACCATATATCATCACATGTATTCTTTTGATTAGATGATCTAATATATGGAGTATTAGCTACATTAGTTCTAAACTTTTCTCTGGTAGGGGTAAGGTTTGCATACCGGTGTTGTCTTGTTTGGTAGTTTGGTTTGTTCTAAACATTTTCTTTTTGAATTATCGGTGAAGAGAAAATGCAGGAAATGTGAAGGCAAAGTATATTATAGAAGCTGCTAACCATCCTACTGATCCAGAAGCTGATGAGGTGCCTTTCTTTTTTTCTTCCAAAGGTCACACTTTTATCAACTGGCAGATTTTGAAAACCCAAATGTTGTTTCTATGGGTGCAGATTTTGTCTAATAAAGGAATAGTTATACTACCAGACATATATGCAAATTCTGGAGGTGTGACTGTGAGTTACTTCGAGTGGGTTCAGGTAATGCGCATTAAACCTAGCTTTAACCAAATCATTTACCTTTCTAGCTTTACCACACTGAAATGTGACCTTTCTTGCTATGGAATAATCCTCCAAGGATTTGTGTTTGTGCGCAGAATATTCAAGGGTTTATGTGGGACGAGGAGAAGGTGAATCGGGAGCTAAAGAAATACATGTCGAGGGCGTTCCAGAACATAAAGGGCATGTGCCAGTCCCATAACTGCAATCTTCGGATGGGTGCATTCACTCTCGGAGTTAATCGTGTTGCGCGCGCCAGTGTCTTGAGAGGCTGGGAAGCATAACTCCTTTCCCTTTGTTATTCTTCTTCTCATTGTTCTTAAAAAACTTAACCGATACATAAGTATACCTTTTCATGGCTGAAACATGCTGTGGAAGGATATTTTCTCTTCTTTTCATTGATCTTGGAATTCCACTGATGAATTGGAGACTTGGATTGTACCACACAGATAAACATTTGACAGTCATTCACAAAAGTTATATACAACATGAAGATTACCTGTTCCAATTGTTGTAGTTCACTCTTTTTTGGATTTCTGTTCAAGTGGTGTGCATCTAGTAGTGTTTTTATGGAATGTTGGTGATAGTTATGCAATCATGAAGTATTCATGTAAAATCTCAATTTTTGGGGAGTTTTGGAATGAATTTTTCATTAGAGTTCATTTTTAGTAAATAAATTTAAGGGTTACCATCATCTTTGTAGAAGAGGAGAAAATGCCCAAAAGCAACAATGAACCAGTAACCTCATTTTAAGGCGGGCGAAAAATGAAAAACAAAGCTTTTTTTTCTTTTAAATAGGAAGGGAGTATATAGATTTTGCACGTCAAACTAAGCTTAGAAGCTAGATACAATAAAGAGACCAAAGGAATTCCTTCAGCGGGAGAATTTTATAGTTGGATCCAATTGTACACAATCTATCTTAAAATAGAAATTAATTAAATCAGAATATCCGATGTTCTTCGTAACTGTAGCACAGTTATTCTCCTTGAAATTTGCAGATCTCATGACTTTTATTTCCAATCTTACACAAAATGCCACTAAATCGGCTTGTGAAAATGGGCATCTGTGGTGAGCTCCCAATAACATACCTTTTCATCTCTTTGTCTACCACTCTTTTAAGTGTGTCGCTGATGTTACCCAATGACCAAGCTATGGATATATGTGGGCGCGGATCCTGCGATCAATACACCCACAATCACGTGATGGGAAAATCATTCACCGAGACTATGAATGCTCGAATAATTGGTAGAAGAAGTATCACTAATGTAATCTAACCTTGTAGAATTCTGGAAGATTGTGAAGCCTATAAACCTCATTAGCAGCTTGAATCTGTTTTGTTATCTGAGAACAAGAGAATCAAAATAAGCACGTTGGCAGCACAAGTAGCAATCGTCTTCATCTTTTTTTGCTTAACTGCAAGATGCTCTATAAAGCACTAACTTTTTTAACTTTATTGACCGAATTGGTTGGCAAAGAACAACAAACCCAGTAAATCTCATGCAGTGAGGTCTAAAGGGTGTGTGTACGCAGAGTCGCAGATCTTACCCCTACTTAGAAAGTTCAAAGTAGAGAGGCTATTTCCAAGATACAACAAATTGGTAGGCAATTTAAGGAAAAAGTAGTTCAGAATATATTTTGGCTGAAATGTGTGAAATGAAGATACCGTTTTCTTTTTAGTAGTTTAAAGTTTAGAGTCCTCAAACATTGTATTCTGGATGCGATTTTTTTTACCCACTTTAAAAAAATTGAACATGTTTTTGTATAAATCCATCCAAATCAATAACTCTAACCATCTATTCTATGGAAATAATAATAATAATAATAATAATAATAATACCACATAATAATTTTAACCCTTTCGGTCCTAATTTATTTCAGCAAAGTCAAGGCATTATGCAATTTCAATCAAACTTTATCCTTCCAAAAAATGCTCAAAGTTTCCTCTTTTTTATGAAATGAATCCTCAAGATCTAACAGGATAAACAAATTATCATTGATTTGTATAGTCAAAACACTGTGAGATAAACTCAATAGCAGTGCAATGGTAAAAACTGCAGGGATAGAAACTTTGGGATGAATTTCAAATACAAAACTATAAACGTATAAAAGTTAAATGAGACAAAAAAGAACATAAAATGATATTTCAGGATTCAAATGGAATTAATTAAGAGTAATAATAAGGGCAAGTAGGAGTCAGGAACTGGTCCAGGTAATGGGGGCAAGTTTTCCAAAATAACCAACCCTACACAATATTATCAAAAGGTTACTTTGTTTTTAGAAAGGGTATAGTGGCACTTTCACCCCTATTACCTAAACTAATTCCTGACCCTTTACATGCACCTATCAATATTTTCAGATAAAGATATAACAAATCCAACCCGGTTATATCATGCTGTCCATCATACCTCAAATAGGCCTCCTGTGATGACTTCCAATGAGAGAAACGTGCGAGATTGATCATCATTCACAAAGACCTCCCATTTGTTAAAATTTATCCAATACCTGTTTTCATTTTTCAAAAAAGGTTAGAGATTAGGACTAAAAGATTATCGATCCCAAGGCCAAGGTGCATATATACAGAGATATGCAACACAAAAGCCACTGCATTACCTCTTCTGAAACTGCAGCCTCTGGCGAAGCATGGAGACGACTGAATTGATCTGGTGAACTCGAATGGGAACAGTCCTTCCCAAACTTATATGAAACTCCCTACCTAAGGCAACTTGCTCAAGCTTACCCTTGTCTCTCACCAAATTACTCAATGGTACATCAACATCAACAACATTAAGATCAGGGAAAAGAGCCGTAACCCTCTCCAAAAACTGGGCCAATTCCTTCCTTGGTGCAGATGGTATAAGAACTATAACAAACAAAAGAACAAAACAGTAATACTCCCTATAAACCAAGAATTGTCTCTGGTTCCCTATGACAACTAAACTGCATAAAAATCTATTTTTTATGTATTCCAAATACAAAACAAAATACTCCACTACCTTAATCATTTTACCTACGCACGGTTGAAAATATTGCATAAAGATTATCACGGGAATGCTGAGTAGGACTTTTGAAAGGCGACCAAGCTTACCTGGAATGTAAACATGAAGAGCGTAATTGCCATCTACATGAGGAAAGCTTCTGACTCGATTGACTTGACAGCTTTTCAAGTAATCCAACGAACCTTCACAGACCAAAGACCGAACACTTGGTGGGCATAACTAGGCAGCCATTGAATAACGCAAATTACAACATCCCAAACGTATAATCACAAGGTTCTGCAAGCTAATCATGGAAAATTACCCAGTGAAGTGGGCGAGTCGAGTAGAGAGATGGGAGGCGGCGGGAGAGGCGTGAATGTCTCGGCGGCCAAGGAAGTGGAGGGCAGAGGAAGAGTGCGATCGGAGTCCGAGTCGGAATCAGAAGAAACGTCGCCGTATGATGCTATCAATGCATCCATATTCACGCCTTTTAGGGTTTTGAATCTCTGTGTTCCTCAATCGCCGGGAAAATCCATTCGAGCTTTGAAGCTCTTCCCCACCACTTTGAGAATGGCTCTTCGCCTCCACTTTGAAAAATTTTTATTTAGAAAAAATTAAAAGTACATTCAAATAAAGAAAAATACCGGAGTAAAAAATAGAAAAATAAATAATTAAAGAAATGCTTATAAAACTTAACTTAATTTATACTCCGCACTTCAAAATTTACAAACAAAAGAGAGTGAATGATACAAAAATACGATTTCAAATATTTGTTAATTTTTTTATATTCATCTAAAAAAATAAAATTCAAATAAATGATAATTAAAATAAAAAATTGTTTGTAATTCATCTACATTTGAACCAACTTTTCAAAATCAATTCATTATTTTGTTATGAAGAATTATAAAAACATTATTATTTTTATAACATATTTGTATGTATGTTTGGTTCAAGATTTTTCAGTATGAGAAATTACTTCGTACCGATCTCAAGTAATGGATCAACATTCAGATTGATTTGATACGGTTCCTTTATGGTACTCTATCGTTTCGGTAATCTCAATTTTTTCGAGAATTTTTGGGATCAATTTGGTACGTGATCACCCATAGTCTTTAAACTGGTTTTTAACACTCACCTTCCGCAAACCTCTAGCACAACCCGTATGTGCCTTTATCTATTCTAATTTTATTATCAAAATGTGTTGCCTTTTGTAACTGTAATTAGAGGACGTGTGACTGCATTGAGCTTGAATCACATTGAGAGTTATAAGGTAAGAACTATCATTTTCTCAAACAAAGCATCATTAGACTATTAATTTGGCTATCGTTATCAGGTTAAAGTTTAGGTGACATATCAAGTTGTCTACTTATTTTTAATATTTTTATCTAACGTTTGTTTTCAGTGCAAACAATCACACTTCTGATTCATTTACTTAAGGTAGTATTTGACAACTAGCATTTTGTTTCAATTCAAAAATTTGAAATCCTGAATATCAAATGACAAGGGGAGGTGCATGGATTTCAAATTAAGCTTTGTTATGAATGAAAAGAATTTGGAAACATGAAATTTGAGCCAAATCTGGATTTAAAATCTAAATTTATGTTCTCGAACATACCATAAATAAATTTACACACATTATTTATTGTGTACTAATAAAAAATGAAATTTTTGTTCATAATTTTACATATAAAAATAAAAGCATTAAAATTTAAGAAAATAAAAATTTAAATTATAAAAAAATGTAAAAGATAATAAAAGTAGCACTATATACCAATATTAAATAAAAAATTATTAAAAAATTACAATAGGATTAAAAATAAAAAAGATAAATTTAAAAAAATTATCAAAAATAAAAGATAAAAATAAAGTTTTTGTCCCACATTTTGCTTTAAAGGTTTTTCATTTTCACTTTGAATGTTTTTTTAACAATTTTTATTTTTATATATTATAAAAAATATTAAAATAATTTGAGATAAAATATAAAAAAATTCAAAAATTGTAATTTTACTTTAAGTAAATCAGGAGATTTAATATGAGTATTTAATGTATTTTTGTCATAAATTTAAATTCTCAATCATTCAATATCAATTTTCTAAATCAATTGATTGGGTTTCCGAATTGGGCTGGGTTTAAAATTTTGAATAGCCCAAAGGACGAAGAACCGGGAGGGAACCTCGACGACAAAACCGCTCCCTTCCTCCCTCCCACCGGCCCCGTTTTCCGGCAACCGGACACCGCAGAACTGGCATGTACAGACTATGGAGGGTATAGGAACGCATGCGAGCATAAGCGGCAATGAAAATGATTCGGCGGAGCACGGCCGGTTATCAGCCAAACAAAAGGCTAGAATTTCCGAAAACTTCAGAGCCGCCAAGGCGCTTCTCGCTCGCAAAAGGCCCCGAGATGCTTCCGATCATCAATTCCCTAGAAAGTGAGTAATTAATCGTGGTCTTCTGGTTGGTAGAAGATGAATGCAACAGTTAGTGGTTTGCTAATTGAGCTGAATGTGCGCGATGAAGTTGAAATCGCCAGTTTCTATTGCTAAGAAAATCTGAAAGTTATTTGGATGTGTTTGTTGAATGTTTTAATAATTTCATGAACCTTACATGGTAAAAATTTCATTTAGGGCTTTAAAATATGGGTTTTTAATTCCTGGAGATAATCAACATTGAATGCATTTATACTAAATAGATTAAAAAAATTATGATTCAATTCTTAATTTACCCGAATGCAACTCATTCTATATTCACTTAGTTTGCAATCAATGCGCCTACAATATATTTATTTTTCATTTGTTTTTTATACTTTCACATATGTGGTCTTTAGAGATGACATTGTCAGGGGAAGCGGACATCCTGTTCAGTTGGGTAGCATTAAAAGGATCCCACTTTCTGAGGTTTCAGTGAATACACCTCTACATACCTCAGAGAAGAAGCTTAGTTCGAAGTTGCTTGATGGAAGCAATGGACTGTGCAGTAATGGTACCCATGGATACAGTATTAAAGCAAGAAGGGAGGGTGGAGAACATCCAGCTTTGTCTAGAACTCCTGAGAATCAGAATAAGTCTTGGACCGGAAAGTGTTTTGATAATTCATTCTGCACGAATGCTCCCAATATCCATGAAAAAGCAGATGTTTTGCTGGAATCTGATGCTGGACTAGACTCATTTGTTACTCCAGTGAGGCAACCCTGCTTCTCTAATGTGAGTGGGTTGTACCCATCATTCAGTATTCTAGATGATGATCTGGATGAATCTATTTTGGAGGAAATTGATGCTTTGTGTGAGCAGAAGTTAACAGAAAATGCCAAAAGGGAGAAGCCGGGCACTGATCTGGAGGGAAGCCAACATGTTTCTAGAAGTACCGGGAAGGATACCTCAGGTGCAGAAGTCAATTCAGAGGAAAGCGTGATGGCTGAATGTTTTATGACTTCAACAGATAAAGCAATGACTGAGGCAAAAGATTCAGATCCTAGTGGAAGGGATAGCTTGAGTCCTGATGGCTCAGGTTCAATCTTTGAGCTTAAAGGTATTTTAACCTTAGAAAGTGGTCAAGAATGTAAAGAAGAACCAAAGAGTCCTGTAGCTACATATACTAGAAACATGCCTGAGGAATATGCAAAGTATATAAGAGCTCTAAATGACAAGCAGCGAGAAGCTGCTTGCACAGACATTTCAATCCCATTGATCATTGTTGCTGGACCAGGGAGTGGCAAGGTCTCTTCTTTTTCATGTTTTAAGTTTGAATTTCCTATATGTTTCTTAAGCATGACTTTCTTTATCTGGTTTTGGGTGCCAGACCTCTACAATGGTAGGACGCGTCTTGATGCTGCTACATAAAGTAAGTGTCGTACAATTGTGCAAACAATTGGTCTGTTGTTACTTGTAAATTGCAAGCGTTAACTTGTTCAAGAGTGTTTGCTCCGATTATGATATGACATCATAGTTTTGGATGTTCTACTTCTCTGTCATTCTTCAAATGTTATAGGGAATTGGTCCATCCAACATTCTGGCCATGACCTTTACTATAGCAGCAGCATCTGAAATGAGAGAGCGAATTGGGGCAGTTGCTGGGAACACAGCAGCAAAGGATCTAAAAATCAGCACATTTCATTCATTTTCTCTGCAACTCTGTCGTTTACATGCAGAGAAGTACGTACATGCTATATTTTCAAAATATAATGTATTCCTTTAAATTTGTATAGTTGGACATTCTACTATTTTCATTTCCACTAGGCTATTACCTTTTAGAAAGTGTGGACTTCACAAACTATCAGGAATGATAAGGCTGGGTACCTGTTAAAGAAAGCAAAATTAAGAAAATTATGTTATGTTTTTACTTCGACTAGTAGTCTATCATGGATGCACAGTAGTTGAACTTCAATGTTGTTGCAAAGAGATATGAACTAAAGTCTGCACTAAGATACGTTTGTGGACAGCCATGTCTGTCTTTCTGTTTTGAGTGTTCCATGCCGAATAGTTAAATGTTAAAAGATTGAAACTCCAAATAAAAAGTCAAACACTAATCTATTGGCTCTGTCTATTAGGTTGGGCCGCACAGCTGACTTTTTGGTATACGGCCAAGCGCAGCAGAGAAGGGCTGTCATTGAGGCAGTTCGTGTACTGGATGATGAGAGCAAAGGATGTAATAGTGAGTTTTGTAAGCTCATTGAAAGGCCTGACATGAAGTCTGCCCAACTATTTAAGGACAAGTCAAAGAAATGGTTGAAGTTTGTAGTACAGGTTTAGTTTTTTTCCTAATAAAGGTTTTATAATCTGCTGAAAGCAGCCTCTTGCAAAAAAAAAAGCAAGGTTAGGTTGCCAACATTACATGGTTTACACCCTTGTGGTGGGGGCCTTCCCTAGATCCGGCTGCATTTTTAAAAAAATTATACTCTACAGTACTTTGTCCCTTTATATTACGTAGTATAAAGCAATTTTAGCAATGAAAGTAGTACATGATAGCTTTCAACTTTTCCTTGCTCATTATGGACTTTATAAGCCTTAGTGAAATTGCAAAGGTCTACTCTGGAATGGTTTATTTTGACTAAATATAATATTTGAAGTGATGACATCTATCATCTTGACTCGTATTGTTTGAAGTCTTAAATTTCAAATTAATGCATCTCTACTTGTCTACAGAGTGACCTCAAAACCTTTGCTACTGCAGGCTAAAGCTGCTGGAAGGTCATCTGAATATTACTCTAAAATTGGTAACAATATGGGAGTAAGCCAAAATCATTAATTTTTTAGTTGTATTTCTAAAAGGTTTATGGTTTACCACACTAATCTTAAAGTTTGAACAGGCAGCAATTCTTGAAAAGTACAATGACATATTAAAATCCTGCAATGCTTTGGATTACCATGACTTGATCAGTTGTTCTGTCAAACTTCTGACTGACTTTCCAGAAGGTCTTGATAAGTACTTTTTACTTAACTAAGAGATGGAGCATACTTGATCTGTTGTTCTGTAAATCTACCAATTACTGATATAAATGCTTTCTCTTTTTTTGACATGAAGTATCGAAGGAATGCCAAGAGTCATGGAAGGCAATTGTAATTGATGAGTTTCAGGACACAAGTGCCATGCAATATGGTCTTCTGCTTACCCTTGCATCACATATGAAAATTACTGTTATTGGTGATGAAGATCAGGTGTGTGCTACTCTTAAATATGCCTTCCATGCAAATTTGAGGAAACTAGTTCGTTCATATTTTGACTTTTCTCTTGCAATTTCCCTTTTATGTATTGCACAGTCTATTTTTAGTTTTAATGGAGCTGATGTTTCTGGATTTGATTCCTTTCGAAAAGATTTTCCACTGCATAAAGAGGTAGGCTTATTCTTGATTAATACGATTCATCATGCACTAGTTATCATTAGTTTAGCATTTCTTCACTTGATGAATAGGGCACTTGACTCAGTGACTCACTATAAAGTTGCATGTACATTTTTTATTTAGGTTAGGCTAGATAAAAATTATCGTTCCACACGTTGCATAGTGGAAGCAGCATCATTTCTCATCCGACATAATTTGAAAAGGTGCCAGTCAAAACACGTTCTTACGGACAATTCTTCGGGAGCCAAGGTAATCGTTATTGCAAGAAACTTCCGGGAAAAAATTGGTGGATGTATGTCATGTTTACAACAACATATTTTCCAGATAACTGTCAAGGAGTGTTGCAATGAGGATGCACAGTGTGCATTTGTTACAGATAAAATTTTAGAAATTGCTACTGATAATTCATCTGCCAAATCTTCATTTAGCAACTTTGCTGTTCTCTACAGAAGGCAGGCAAGTACCGATATCAAGGCGCACACATCTTTTTTCTATATCTTTGATGGCTTTATACTTTCAAATACAGACTTAAATATGTTGTTAGCCCCTCCAAATATAGTTTTTTTGTTTTCATTTAGTCCCTCCCGACTCTCAGTCCACCTCCATTTATAAAAAGTTGACGTGGCCTACAAAAATTTACTCTGACCTTTTCAAGTCAACTTTCTATAACTCTTTGGACACTATCAGTGGATTTAGAGCTAAAAATCTCATCATTTTCGCTTTATATTTATGACTCTTTATGTCTCCCTGGAAATACTCGTGGGATTCAGCTAGGTTGTTGTTGATGTCTCTCTGGAAATCAATATTAAAAAGAAACAACTTGGAACAGTAAGACTGGAATTCTATGTGCCACACCATTTTTTAAAAATTTTTAGTGTAGGTTGACAACTCTGCAAAGAGTTGGAGAGGGACTAAAAGCGATTTTAAATTACAAGGATGAAAAAGAAAATAAAACTTATAGAGACCTAAAAGAGCCTCTCTACCTTTAGAAGTGAGGGTAAGGTTTGCATACACCAACCCCCTACACCCCACTTCTGGGATTCCACTGCGTAGGTTGTTGTTAAATTGGGCCTAACTCCTCCCAAAAGGATCCTTGAGAGCCAAAGCCAGAGGTTTGTCAGGCTTTATAATATGGAGTATGGTTCCATAACTCATGAAGCCATCAACGTGAGATACTTAGCTCGCCCCTCAGCGGCTCAGCTCGAACAAGACTGAACAAGAAATTGGCGGATCTGAAATGCTGCAAATGACAAAGGGGCGGGTCCCAAATCATGGAAACAACGAATGAGTAGGTTTGAATGTTTGATGCCATCTCAACTTAACTCCACCCCTAAAGCATCCTCAAGAGGCAGCTTTATAAAGTAGAGTATGGTCCCATAACTCCTCAATGTGAGATACTTTACAATTGGTAAGAGACATAATACAAAAATGCCATATTTGCAGGGGCTGAAAACATGATTAAACAAAAAAAATATTTAATGAACTTTACTTTTACAATAGGTATCAGGAAAAATATTTCAAACAGTATTCCGTGATAGGAAAATTCCTTTCAACATTCATGGTGTAGCCTTCTACCGGAAAAAGGTAGGAAACATTTATTTTTCAATTTTGTTGTTGTTTTTGTACCTATGTTTATTATTAGAAGGGGAATGAGCATTGGCGTAGCCATGCACTGGTGAAAGCTGCTGCCATGTGAGTATGTGACTTCATAGGTTCAAGCTCGGAACAATCCTTTGTAGAAACATATGCTCTCCGGATTCAAATAGTTTTTCCAATATGTAGAGGAACACATACTCTCTCTGTATTTGAATAGTGTGTAAAAAGTTAAAAAGAAGTGGAGAGAAGATGACAAAGGAAAAATTGTATGAAATTTGGACATGACTTCCGACTTCATGATCTCACCGAGGATATAGCTGTAGATAGGAGTCTCAAGGTCTAGAACTGAAGTGATATGGTAGGCTTTTGGGTAGTACTCTACCCGACTACCCTTGTCTAGGATTAGTTGCCTTAGTTAGTTGCCTCTGCATGTTTATTTGCTTCTTTCATGCAACTTCCCTTTGCCATTCCCTTTTCCTCTACATATGTTTCAGCGTTCCTTTTGTTTTGAGCCCGGGTTCTTGAAACCACCTCTTTGTAGTTAATTATTGTATGAAATTCTTTAATAATCCAAAATTATGAATTTTATACTATCTGTTTTTTTGTGGGTTGAGTTCTCTTTATATTTAAGGTTTTGTTAGGATTTATCATTTAAATAAAGCGTGCAACAAGTAACATCCTTCTAAATTATGTAAACAATACCCTTGACAGGTGGTCAAAGCAATAATTGCTATGCTCAGAACAACACTTCCTGGTTGTGATGATGCATCATATCGACGGATATTTAAAGCTTTACTTGCTTTTGATAAAGATGAAAAGAAGAAGGTTATGACTTTGTTGTATTTGAATTATGTATGGAGCCAAAGATAATGTTTTTTCATATATCCTTTACTTATTTTCAGTCAATAAGGCTTTCTTTGCTGCAGATAATTGAACACATTGAGAAAGTTTCTGCTATAAGGAATTGTAGCTTTCTTTCTGCTGCGAGTGACATATTTGGTGCAAAGATATCTGGTACTTTCAAAAGGTTAATTCCAGAACTCCATGATCTGTGACTTCTAACATAATCATAATATGTTTGCATGAAGAGCTTTTGTCGAACCACATCAACATTTTATCATAGTTTGATAACCATTTCTTTGTATTAACACATGTTGTGAGACTTGTGACGGCCTCATTGATATCATATCATATTATGATATTCTCAATCTTTGTTTTCTCTGAAGTCTTATATATTCATTTTTGGTTACGAGACTGTATATTTACTACAAACGCGTCTATGAGTACTTATTTCTCGATTGGGTTTGACTACAGGCGTCAACTTACCCAAGGCCGCAAGGTGTTAATCACTTTAGACATGATTTCGAAACTTGTTAACAGGGTAATACATAAAACTCCACTCTTTTTATGCCTATCATTTTTAACCTGTTATTATGCATCTTGATGCTCCATTTTTAAGTATGCTTGTCCATGCAATTTTGTTTTTTAAATTTTTGCGTAACAGTTATATTGAACCATTTGAACGACACAATGATTGTTTTTGCCGAAAACTTACAAAAGGCATTCTATTTAGCATTTGGATAGTTAACCTGTGAATGACCTTCACTAATAAGGCATAACAAGTTTCAGTTGCCTAAGTTTTACATTCCAAGAGTGGATCTTTTCTAACAATGAAGATGGCTCTCAGGTCCTGTATACATTTTAACTATACACTAACTAAAAATATATTGTCAAATTAGTGTGTTTAACCACATTCTAGATCGTTTGCACACAAGCTGGCTATGGATACAGTGTACTACTCATAAAGAATATATTGTCAAGATAGGTGTTATTAGTGATGATAACTTGCTTACAAAATTTAATAGTCATGAAAAAGGTACACACTCAAAGCAGTCGTGATTGACTACCCATTGTTATTCATATCAGTATCCAATTTAGTACTCCCTCCATCCCACTTTTTTTTGGGAAAATTTAGAAGAGTAAGATTGTATGGTAGATATTGATGTTAAAAAGTAAAATGCAATAAGAATAAATGTGAACCGCACAAATATAACCAAATATAGAATGAGACAAAAATTGTGGGACAGACAAAATGGTAAAAAGGGACAAAAATAGTGGGAAAGAGGGAGTATTAAACATTGAATTCCATCTCTTGAAGAGGAGACACAGTTGGAGATATCGAACACTAGTCAACCTACCACTTTTTCATCTTTCTTGGAACATTGCAAACTCATCCAGATGATAGATGCTGAATATCCCAAACACTACCCTTTACCGAGCAATCACATAGTGGAACATAATTGTTGCATTTGTGCAGTGCCTGACAACCACTTTTCTAAGAAAGGTATTGGCAAAGATCACCAGTTGGGTGAGATTAATATCATTTGTTGACTAACTGGGTCCTCTCAAGTTTAACCTTCTCTTTCCAGAATAAACTCTCACTTCAAACAAAATATCCTTGTTTCGGACATCCACATGGTGAAGAGCATAAGAAATAGATCATTGGTGACCAACGAATCTGCAACTTTGATAGGTTTGCTCATCATGCTTGCTCTGTGCCTGACTTATGTTTCTTGGAAAAGATAGCTGTCATGGTGGAATTTTGAATTTCATTTGAAGTAGGTTGCTTTTTACCTTTGTCAAACGTGGACTTGACTTCTGCTTGTGTTTTCGGCCACTAGAAATATGGATATCACATGTGCTGTCCCTGTTAAAAGTCCAGCGATTGCAGCATCAACTGCTTTTGTTCTCCCTTTTCTGGCCTCAAGGCCACTTCCTGTGGACAGGAATGATATGTATATGGAATCCAACTAAGTACTATAGGTGTACTTTGTTGCATTAGAAGCTGAGTTGAGTCATTTTCTTATCCCTAGAGGAGAGGTATTGAGAGTTCGTAGAAAGTAGTCTGCCTTTACAAGAACTATTCTTGCAGGCGGGTTCCTTTAGGGATTTTGGGGATTTTTTTGAAGCTTTTTTTCTATCTTTTTGTCCATTATTTTTGTGATAATAGAGTCAGGCTTTATATTTCCCTAGGTACCAGTGATTGCATAAGATCCTATTTATAGTTAGCCAAATGTAATGACTTAAACTATGAAGTAATTTGGTGAGATATTCCTATTCTAGAAGATTCTATCACATATTTCATCAGGACTAGACTTGGCTCCTCCCTTTTCATAAAGGCTAGAATTCACATTCCATAAAGACTAGATTATTTTCCACAATTTATAGTGAAGATATCTTATTCCGTTTCATCTCTTTACTTCCTGACAGATTGTTGCTTACCCCACTTTTAAAAATTAGTTTGAATGACACTTCAGCAATTTCACTAGTTGATGCTTGCAGGAACAATCAATTTCTGCTGTCATTACTTCAGTGGCAAATATGATACCTCAGGTTGGTTATCCGACCTCAAGTATTAAGCATAAAATGTATAAATGGCTATGATAGAAACCAAGCGCATAATGTTACTTGAACCAAATTATCAAATAATTCTAACAATTTCTAATTGTTACCATTGTTTGAAAATATAATATGGCATGCCTTGGCATATGTTTGTGTGTCTTGCAGAAGTTCCTTATCGAACAGCGAGCAGTGGTTGATACTGATGGAGGGAAGTTACTCAATGAAGACAATGATATTAGATCTGTAAGTTGTTATTCTCATTCCTCATGCACTTCTTATGGCAGTGTACACAAGTTAAAATATGAGGACTACATGTATTAATCAAGCCAATTATCTTAAAAATGCTAGAGAGAGTAACAACTGCAGATTTACAGTATCCATATTGCAAACTAAGTCTTCCCTCTACCATATATACAAGGATTCTAAATTAATAGGATTCTTCTACTAGATTAATTCTACACATGTGCATTTGTGTAACTCCGCAAGGCCAATGATGAAAATATTGATATCCATGGATATGTCAAAATCATCAATTTACAGATATATCAATACACACACACACAATCCAATATTTCTAATTATTTTGGTAGAATTTGTAAAAAAAAAATTAAAGAATGACATATTTCTTATAAAAAAATTTTGAAATATGAAACAGAACTTCATAAAACACAAACAACCTTTTAATACATCATTTTAATTTGAATATCATGCAAAACGACGAATTCGCTCCCATTTTTAACATTTGTACTGTCAATTTACGGAAATATTCTTGGACATATTTGGACCTTAGAGTTACAAGGCTTAGACCTGCAAGTGTCTGTCGCTCTGTCCTCTTAATGTACTTATTGCAAGATTCTTAAGTACTATATCTGAATACAAGGACTGGACTGTTTATTTAGTTAGAACATAGATAAGCTTGCCTCTGTATCTAAGAATTTGCTTTATAGTCCAATGTGCAAATGCATCTAACCCTTCCAGTGCAATGGCTCAGGTTCTTCAGTATCTATTGGACGATGTATCTGATTTTTTGAGAAGCAAATTCAGTAATTTAGAAGGAGAAAATGATAGTATGAAAGAAGGTAATGGGTGTGCAAGTGTGCTCAAAATTTTTATTGATTACATAACTGAACGAGAGACAGAGAATTTCCGTGCCAGGAAACTTGAAAATAAAGATTCTGTCACCCTTACTACTATTCATCAGGTTTTCTCATTTACTCAAAATTTTACATGTTCATCTTCAATATTATATAATGATATCTTGGACCCATTGGCTTACACCTTTTTTTGAAATTCTGTGTAGTCAAAGGGCTTAGAGTGGGATACAGTTTTCATTGTGAAGGTAAAAACATTAATTAAATGAAAATTCATCTGCATTTGATATTGTAAATATCTATGCATAGTTTTCAGAATATGGAAACACTGAATTTCATTTTTGAGTACTTTATTTTTATTGCTATTGATTGATACCATTGAATGCACAAATATCCTGCTCCTTAATCCAGTACGGTAAGTGATTGAAAAATAGTGCTCTTAGTTTTATCTAGACTACCTTTTGAAAGGAATGCCATGTTTCAAAGTGGAGTTTGGTTTTGCTTCATTTGTTTCAAGTTGAAAGATAGTTAAGATACCCTGTATGCAACCCATTGTTTGTCTTTCAGTTTCCCCTCTTAGTTTTTCTTGGGCCAATATTTCAGGCGAATGATTCTGAGATTCCCTTGCTACATGAATATAATGGAATTACAAATCAAAACGCTAACTCTTTAGAGGTAAGATTACTCTGATAATAATGGAAAGTTGGGTTTTAGTTAAATTCATATTTGTGCTTTTACTCGCTATAGTCGCTAATACATATTCTATTCTTATTTTTTTTTTTGATATATCATGGTTTTCTTTACGAACTATTAGGAGGAGAGGCGGCTACTCTATGTGGCAATGACTCGCGCCAAGAAAAAACTTTTTATTTTACATGTATTAATGGACTCTAATTGGCAGGTAGGGTAAAGCTATATGTTTTTTGTCTAATCAAATATGCTTTGCTCATTGATCAGTTCTGAGATTTAATTGCTCTTACTTTCAGGTTCTTCAACCATCACGTTTTCTAAGAGAAATTCCTCGACATCTTGTGGAGGTCCAGGTGATTTAACAAAAAGTTTCTATTTCGATAATTATACCCCTTCCCTATCTATTTTTCACATGGATTAAGAAATGATTGTTTCGAAGTAAGGACAAATAATTTCATATATCCCGTTTTTACCCTTTGTAAAGCTTGGGTTGTTTTGCGTCCATTGCCAATGGAGCTAAAAGAGACATTTTTACTACGTTTTAGCTTTGAAATATCACAACATTACACTTCTCTTGCTTCTTAATTTATACGTAGCATGAAGTTTTGGGTTGTGATGCAACAATGTATCAAGAATCTAGCCAAAATAACCTTTTTGTTTTTCATAGGATAAGATGGCATACATCTTGACCTCCCAAACCCCTATTGAATTTGGGATTATACCGGGTGTGTTGTTTTAAAGCCAACATTTTTCTATGTCAGAGTACTATACTACTCCGTACTTTCTAATTTTAATGTGGATGATTTAATAGAGGTAAACTTGAAAATGAAAAATTAAATGCACACACCCAATAAACTGGGATATCTTTGATGGAAGAGGGAGCAACTTTTTGTTTTCTTTTTTTCAATTTTTGAATAGAAGTTTGCTTATGCATTTAATGCTGCACTACTTGAGAATATATAATTGCTGTTATTATCCTGACACTGTTTTCAGTTTTTAAAATGTTGTACAAACCCCATGAATTCATGGCCATTCCGTCTTCCAAAAACATTGGCCTACTGGCTTTTTTTTGGGGGGGGGGACCTCTTTAGCTCCCTTTACACCAAGCTACACATGGAAAATAGAAAAAGTAAACCCCTCATAATGTAACATACTTAACTCATTATCATTTCAAGCATGTATTTTCATGATCTTTACTTCTCTCGCTGATACAATAGAATAAAAATTATCTTATTGATATGTATTCTGTAGGAAGATCGAAGTTTAAGAGGTTCAGAAACCGCTAATCTACCACACATTGAAGAAATACCCCAGAATTGTTCCCCAAAAAAGATGAAATCCTTTGACGATAGCTCAAGGCTGTATGATTTTCCCAATAATCCAGAAGACATTGAACCAAATGATTCAATAGAAGTATGGAATTCCAACAATTTTCTAAGAAGGTGATAACGATCATTGCATGAGAAACCATAAATGTCGTTAATTCATTATATTGCAAGATTGGGCCACAAATATCATATCGTTTCATATGGCTTTGCAGATTCGATACAGAAGACCGTGCTGTAGTATCCCATTTATTCCATCAGTGGGCCAAAATGCCTGCTTTCAAGGATCCGAAAAGGCTACTGAATAAGGTACGTATCACTCATCATTTTGGTTCTATCTTAATTGTTCTTGTTCATCGTCATTTCAGCGATGTATGTTACTAAGTTTGCATGCACATGTATTTTTTTTAAAGAAATCTCCCTTGATAAGAGTAAAAAGATATGTAAATACCAAAATAGGAGTCATAAGTCTTTTAAGTCCAAAATAAGAATATAATGGCACTGTGATGTAAGAGTCACGTTGGCAGTATGATGGAAAAGTGATTGGCGGTGGCACTCTTGTGGCATGCGGCAACGGATGGCAGTGTGGCTTTTTTAGTGTGGTAGTTGTAGTGTGACAGTATAACAATGACAGTGTAAACTCTTATTTTGGTCTTAATAGACTTGAGACTCCTATTTTGGTATTTTCATTATTTTTTTAACTCTTATTCAGGGAGTTCTCCCTTCTTTATATCAAGTTTGGTTGCAAATTGTCTATTGTAGGTTGGTTTTGTAATTGATGAGCGGCTGAGTACCAAGAAGATCCTGCATAAGGTTGTATTCATTCTTTCATTACATGTCTGACATATCATCCACTACCCTGATACATAAGTNGGGGTATTTCGGACCACTTTTATTTACATTAACTTTGCATTATCTAAGTTTAGACAGTTAATTGATGCTCAATTTTGTGTCCCCGACTCCCCCGCTAAAATATACCCCATTTCCCTGAAACTGAAAATAAAATTTCAGTGGCATGCTAATGTCTGAGTGTTGGCTTAATGGCTTTGCCAGGATGTATTGCGTGCTTTGAAGTCCTGCTTGGGAAGTGATGAAGCTCTTCATTATGCTGAATATGTATGTCCATCCTAGTTTTTAATAGTTACTCCGGGGTACTTGATAGAAGTTTATCCATAAGTGCATTATTTGCTTTTCCACATATGTAACAAAGTTTCTTTTCTGATCAGGTTCTGAATTGGCTGCAAATCCCTGCTGACAAGCGTGCTTATTTGATGAGAGAAAAGCAGGTAATCTATCTTATTCTTTATTAAAAAAACTAGCCTAACAAGTGTGTGGCACTGTTAAAGACATGTCCAGTTAAAAAGGAAAAACTAAATTTAAATGATCAGTAAAAACTTAGAACTAATCACTAAGTCATCGGCCGGCAGTTCACGATCCTCACATAGTTGTGCAGTGACTTGTAACCTGGTCCCAAGAAGGTGAAATGTGGTTTTACCTTCATGGTGAGTGGTCACTGGTGTGAGTGTAGGGTAGGTGAAATGTGGTTTTACCATGCAACTTTCAGACGCTCATCATGGGTCATCTGAAAATAGCCGCTACATTTTTAAACATAGGGATTAGGATACGCAAAGTTGTTATTGTTGTTGTTGGCTTCTTCTAACATGCAATAATTTTGTGTATATAGCAGCTTTTTCAAGGAAAGGTGACAGAATGATATATTTGTACTTTATTGTAGCCATTGAATATTTGATGATACCTTTAAAACAGCTAGTTCTTCTGTCCCTAAGTAGAGCTGATGTTTTCCTTTTGGTCCCAACACACTCTATATTTCCTTAATTTCTTTGTTGGGCAAAATGTGTAGATTGCCTGGCAACATCATCACTTATTTGCAGGAACTCATCATGTTGGCAGTGTATCTGTTCTCTAGGCCTAAGTGTCTTTTCTCATGTCTTTTTAGGAACACTTTCAAAAACTGAGAGTTGAGAACGCAATGAGCTCATCAGAACCAACTCCCAAACAGGTACCTGATTAGTTTTATCTATTCAGATTTCACAATAAAACTTAAAAATTTCAAGTTTTTAGCTTCTTATTTCTTATATTTTGATGACAGATTTCTTATCTTCAAAGTTTGGGATGTACTGTTGTCCCTACATCTCGTCTCCATGCATCCCGTCTCATTGAGGAATACAAATCACTATAAGGCTCACAGTTCTAAAGTAGCTCTTAGATACAACAGTCACATATTACAATTCACAAATTGTGTCTCTGCTCTGGCACTGTTATTTATTGATTTTACCATCCTGGTAAGTGGTAATCTTGTACTTCACCCTTCAACTTTAACATAATACACAAATAAATCATGTTCTATCATATCATTGTTTTCGTCGTCGATTTCATAATGCTCAGGTTTTCCTCCAATCTCTATGGTTGTTTGAGCAGGTTCATGTGTGGGTATATTTGTTCATATAAGAAGTCAATTACCAATATGACCCTTAATTGGAGGAAACGCACTTTTCATTTACTGCTTCCATGCATCTTCCTCAGACCCTACCTGTGTGATTTCAGTGGGATTGGTGTTTTTGTTGTACTCCATTTACCATAGTGCAAGGACTAAAGAGTCCCTTTGTCTCCCATTTTGGAATGTAAATCCCTTTACGTAATACTTGCTATTAGGATTTAATTATTGACCATTACATTTTTGTATTCCCAAAATTGGCTATGCCTTTTTCATATTTACTAAACCAAATAATGATGAATCATCTAAAATACTCTAGCATTCCTTCCATTGGGGTGGTATATAAAGTTATAATCTCTTGGGTGCGTGGTATGTCCCTAGTACGTGCATAAAACCCCATCTCAAATTTGGTCATTCATAGTCAGATTTATTTCCATATTTTCATTTAAAAAAAATATTCCCTCCATTTCAAAATTATCCTCTTGTTTCAGATAATGTGTAAAAGTTTTTGTTTTAAAACAATTTTGTTACATAGTATGAAAATAAAATGTACTCTCTCCATCTCAATTGAATTTATCTGTTTCAATTACTGATATTTGCAATTATTTTAAATACATTTTATATGAAAATTGATGTGAAATATAAAAATAAATGTGAAATACACATTTTAAAAATAGGTAGTTAAAGTTTAACTTTGTATATAGTGAACATATAACTTTAATTAGGTCGAGCTGAGTGTATAATTTACAAAGTACGTAGTATAAATTATATCATAACCTTTGCACTGGAATATAAAATAAATGATGACATGTTTGTTTTATTTTACTAAATAATCATAGAAAAGCCAGACACTAATACTCCTTCCGTTAAATAATGGATATTACACTCCAATAATGCATAAATTCTCATCATTTTTATTATAAATTAGTATAATAATAAAAATATGAATTACACCGTTCAAAAGTACATAGAAAAATCTACAAAATAAAAGTTGACAAGAGTATTTTATTTTTTAAATGGTCAATGAAAATATATAAACTAACAAAAGTTATCGAAAAATCGTAATAGTAACAGTGTCATACATTTTGGGACGAAAAGAGTATTTATTTTATTGGAAGGTTGAAATAATACGTGGTAAACAAGATGATATTTTTGGAAGTAAGAGAGAGAATATTGGTTATGGACTTGTGGGTCTTGTCGGCCCCATAGCCCTCCTCAATGGTCTCGTCGCCCTGATCTGCCCCAAAAGATAGACAAAAAGAAGAAAGTTTGCCCCAATCTGCCATAAAGCTAAAAGACAAAAATAAAAAACATTTAAACGGATGTAGAAAAGAACAATTATGGGCTTTGCCCCTATCGCTCCAATGGGGACCCCAAAATATGTACGAGTATCACAGTCTATTTCTCTAATTTGATCTTTATTAAAATAGGAGTAAATATTTCATTATAGAATACACATAAATAAAAATGAATGTTTTAAAAATATTACACAAGATAAATTTAATTAAATCATTTTATGTTCTTATATGTACTAGTAGTATACTAATTTATATTTAATTGATCATCAATTTTATCTATTTTAATTGTAAAAAATCGAACTCAAACACATTAAGGGAGATGTGATATATATTTATTGGCATGATTGCCCCCTCCTCAAAGCAAAAAAAGAATAGAAATCACCCCTAATAGGACTAAAACATTGTGTTTATCCCTAAAATAGGAATTCATGTTTTTTATCCCCCAACTAGGACCTCTCCCGCCATATTCTTTCTTTCTCTCCCGATTTTGCCCTCCTTTTTCTTTCCGCGTCACACTTCACAATCCTGCCCCGCCTACATTACAACTCTTTGTAATACACATTACCACATTACATACTATGACACTTTACATTACAATGGTTCGTAATATTCATCACCACATTACAGATTATGACACTGGTAATATCCACATTACATACTTTGCTGGACTATTATGAATTTTTTTAATTGCATATTAACCATTGAATATTTTTATTTTTTTGTTATGCATTTAAATCCAACATGTCCATATGAGTTTAAACTTTAAAGGACAAAACATGCACATGTTGTGAATTCCAACTTGATCAATTTATTTGCATTCATGGTCATGCTTGGTAATGTAAATGTATATTAACTCAGATTTCGGGAATAAAAACATGAAGCTTCTATTTTGTTATATTTTCAGTGTTTTACTCCTATTTTAGAGAAAATACTAACATTGGAGCTCCATGTTTTTATTTCCAAAATAAGAATTCGCATTGTGGTAATGTGACATGTGGACATGTGGTCAAGTACTTGTGGTCTTGTAGACATGTAGCGCGATTAATGAGGTAATGAGGAAAAAATCCCGCGTCACAAATGTTGAGAAATATTTTGGGAATGGCAATGCAAATTTATTCATATGTGGTGAATTTATGTTTTGAACTCCTATTTAAAATATATTTTCTATTTTTTTAATCTTATTTAGGTTTCCCCCTGTGCGTGTGTGTGGGTGTGTGGAGGAGCCTTTCGTGGAGGTCCTCTTCTTAATTTCAACTCTCTTTTCTTTTCATCTCAAAGGAAATGTATTTCTTTTTTCTTTTTCTTTCTTCTGCCAAAGGCAAATGACTCTAGCCCGGGGATGCCGATCCAAAACGACTCCTATTTAATGTTGCTGATTTGCTGGCCTTTACTTCCTCATGCATGAAAATGCTAGTTCCGGATTTTGGATTAAAGCAAGGGCATTTTGGGGTGCCGTGTAAAAAATTAGTCCTAGATAGGGGATTTTAAGTTTATAGTTTTATTTAGGTATATTGTGTATGTTTTAGTCCTATTTAGGTATATCTCCCAAAAAAGAATTTAATCAAGTGAGAGTGTTCACTTCTAAACATTGGCATTAATTAGAATAAGGAGCATGCCATTGTGAAGGATAAATTTCAAGCCAAAAAAAGGTTATATATACCCCAACCCATAGCATTCCCCTGGTACCCGCCAAGACTGGGGGTGTGCGATTTATTCCTAGTATATGCAAAAATCACATGCGTAATAAGTTCATTTTTTGTTGTTATCAAGATTCGTACCCAAATTAATTCTTTGGGGTATTATATGTCCACTCAACCAGTTGCACAACGTCTAGTATTTTTATTTCCAAAAAAAGGAACATGTATGAAGTCCCCGGTCCTCACACAACATGAGTAAGGTCATTGGTTATAGGTTCAGTTCAAACTAAGACTATCCAAATGTGGAATGAGACTTAGAAATTTTAAAGCCATTAAATAATTGACCCATCATCCATTACATAACTTTTAAAAATATCAAATTTGATCTTTTTCACACAGTGGAGGAATTGTGTTTGCAGTCTACACTGATGTTTGATAGGGAGAGCTCTCCACGTGTTTCTATACTTTTGGACAGGGTATTTTTATTAGAATTCTTTGTGCTTGTCTCAAGGCTAAATTGTATTGTGGTCTTTAGGTTCATGTTCATTTTATGTATATATATAATGATTTTATGTATTCAGTCTTATAAAATTAAGATACAACTAGACCTGGCAAAACTGACCCGGACCCGATAACCCGAACCGAATAACCCAGAACCGAACCCGATTTGACCCGAAAACTGAAAAACCGAAATAGAACCGAACACCCGAAATGATCCGAACCAAACCGAACCCGAACCGAATGTATTCAGACCCGATTCAGACCCGAATCCGATTAAACCCGAACTGATTAAACCCGAACCGATTAAACCCCAACCCGGTTGAACCCGAACCCGGTTAAACCCGGAACCGATTAGACCCGAACCCGATTAGACCCGAAATTGATCAAATTCATTAATATTTCATTTATCAAATGAATTTGGAGAAAACGAATTACCTATATATTTTTACATATGTTGATGTGTTTCTAAAAAAACATATTCAAATTATGGGTGCAAACCATGTACTAGTAACTACTTTCATGGACAAATCTTTTACTTTGCATTTTATAACTTAAGTTAAAATACTTTTGTATTTTTATAGAAAGTATATAAAAATTATAGTTAACTAAATTAACTAAATTTATTATGTGATTTATTCATTTATTAGTATGTATGTGTTTACATTATACTTGAACTAATATAAATTTAAATCGATATAAACTCAAATCTATATAAACCCAAATCAATACAACCCGAATTGATACAAACCTGAACCGATATAACCCGAACCGATACAAACCCGAACCGATATAAACCCGAACCGATATAAACCCGAACCGATACAAACCCGAACCGATACAAACCCGAACCGAACCGACCCGAACCGATTATAACATATATCCGAAAGAGACCCGAACCGAAAAGACCCGAACCGGAACCGAACCGATTGACCCGATTGCCAGGTCTAGATACAACCATGAGCCTTGAAAATACGTGATAAAATTCACTATATATATATATATATATATATATATATATATATATCTGTGTGTGTGTGTGAATTTTAGGATTACAATAGCACAACTACTTTTGCTTCTTCCGTCCCAGTGTATTCTTTCAGTTTGATTTTTCCGGGTCAAATCGGACAAACTTTAAACATCAATTATTCTTTTAATTTATTTTGCATTTTAATACAATGAAGTAAGATTTTAATAGCTCTCAACAAGATAAATCTATTCAAATAATTTTTATACTAAAATATATTACTATTTTTATTTAATTAAAGTCCAATGTTTATCTAATTTGACTCGAAAAAGTCAAATTAAACGAATACATTTGGACGGAAGTAGTATTTTCTCTGTTTTTTACCCCATTCAGAGGTTTGAGATTTCCCTTCTCTGTCCTTTTATTTTTTTAAAGCTTTTTTATTTCATTTAATTCATTTTTCTTAAGCATTTTAAAATTGGGGCATAGTAGAGGCACACTAAAACGGAATATCTCATTTGTACACAAACAAACAAGATATTAAATGTCTATGTTTATATGTGTTTACTTAGTGTACAAATGAGATAATCATTTTGATGTACTCGTAAGTTTATTCTTAAAAGTTACCTAATAAAAAAGTACTTAAACATAATTAACAACTCGTGCATTACTATAGAAATTAGAAAATGAAGATCCCAAGATAGATTTTTTTTTACAATAAAAAAAATCTTCATAGCAAAAGCGCCGACTTCAGGCAAATCCCCGATTTTAACCCCACTACCCACCCCACGTGTTCACTTCGGCCCCACGATTTCCGCATAGTTCGTTCCGTTCTTTCAAAATCCGAAATGGAATGACTAGGGCGAGAGACGACGAAGACTGCTGCTATATCCTTTCTCCTTGCAATGCTCTCGAACCTCTTCTTCACTTCTTCCATGCCTTCATCTCAGGAAGCTTCTGTAAGTTCTTCATCCATTCATGACGTTTTTTATTCAGAACTGTGTTTTTTGTTTTTTAGATATTTACGGAGTACTTCTCTAGTTCACGTCTTCACGATTTTCTGGTTAGTGCGTTTTCTGTAATCCTTTTATTCTCCGGCGAGTTTGGTAAAATTTGTAGGCGATTCATCCTCCATTGTAGGATTATTGAGACTTGGAGGTCTCGCATTCGCTGTTCATCGCCTCTTCCGTACTTTCTCCTTGCTCGTGTTGCGGCTAGCTCGCCGGAGAACAACTGCATTCCTTTACTGCGGTAGGTGTCGATTTATGGTTATATGTATGTTTATTAATGTCGAAGTTGAGCGTATTTGGTAACTTGCTTCTTGGAGGACTGTTTGTTTTGGAAACTATCGCAATGTTTGGTGTTTGATTTAAACGGTAATGTGCATTGATTTCTCGCATTGTTAAATGTTCGATTGGAAGATTTATTAGGATTTTAATGGAAGGAGCGATTAATGCTGTGATTTGGCTGTAATTTGATGCATTAAAGTTCTTATGTGTTTATATGTGACCTGAGTTTTGAAAATTTGATGATGAGTGGTTCTGCTTGCACCAAAGAAGTTGGACTCATTTTTTAGGGTTATACATGTGTGTCTTAACACACAGAAGCTACGATATGGTGAAGCCCTGGGGGAGATGCAGTGATTTTGTTGACAATGGTTATGCAGTTCCTAAATCTCGGCCTGAGTTCAAGCGCCGAAAGTGTGGTGGATTCCGAAAACCTCTGGACCGGCACGCCTTCTTAGATGGAAACCTTGACCAGACTGCTCGACGTCCTACTGAAACAAAGACGTATAGGTCCAGGAACTTTAGTGTACCGCAGAGAGAATTGAAAGATAATGAGCAGAAATTGGCATTGGAGGCAAAATCAAGTTATGTGACTGAAACTGGAGTTCGTCCAAAGCACGGTGTATGCGGATGGCATCCTTCTTTGGGCCGTAGGGAATTTTTCTTGCATGGTGATGATTCCCATCAGAAATCTTTGGTTGAAAATGATGAAGCACCCAGAGCTAAGGCTGGGCTGGAAGTGCCGAAGAGAACCTTGCAGCATAATGCTCTTGAGAGACCCACAAATTATAAGGGTGTTCCTCTCAAACAGCTTCAACATGCATTTACCCCTTTAATTGATGAAATAAAATCTCAAGGTTCAGATGACTCCAAGAGTTATGGAACTTCAAGTGTTGCTGAGCTGAAAATGACACATGGAGCTAAATCAGATGATGTGGTAACAAGGGATTCTGTTGATGCTGAAAGTGTTTGTTCACGGACTGGAAAGGACGATTCTTCTTCTCTTGTTAGCACCCCACAGGGTGGGGTTCACTTAAAACAGGATTTCAGTGCGGCACAAAAGCTTGCCCTAGAAATGTCTAGATTGAATTTTGAGAGCACATCAGAGGCAAAAATTTCCAGATGTCAAAGAGAATTCTGCTCTGTCCTTAATGATGAATCATGTAAAATGCTTAATGTAAAAAAAAATTTAGACTCCAAACCACAAACACAGTGCTATGAGAAAAGCAGTGCTCTGTCTGTGGGGGATAATTTGAAGTCTTCTTTTGAAAACAATTCTACTGTTGTGAATCCTAGCAGTCAAGCTACAAATGGTGAAGAGGAGTTTCAGTTTAGTGATAAGATTGTAGTCCTGAATACGCCAAGAACAGTCCGGGTACCATCAGATCACAATGTTGATGATGAGCATCACCGTTTATTCTACTATTTTGCTGATGATTCACATATTCAGGAATTGGGAATGGCAAGAGATCTCATATATCTTGTTTCTGATCTATACAATGTGGATGACTCTCGAAGACGTGTCAAGGAGGCCATAAATCTTTTCCGGTATGTGCACTCCACACATTCTAAAGCATATGACACAGAAACGGCAGCAATGACTCTTAAGTCTGAGAAAAAATGGGTCAATTCTGAAAAGTGCTTTGTTGGGCATGTTCCTGGAATAGAGATTGGTGACGAATTCGGGCTCAGAGCTGAACTTGCTATCGTTGGCCTTCATCACGAATTTGTATGTGGCATAGATTTCGTGAGGCTCCCATGGCATAAGTCGGAGACCTATGCTGTCAGCATTGTGGATTCGGGTCGTTACGATAACCAGCAGACATCTCCAAACAGTTTTGAATACGTCGGCCATGGTGGAAATCCAAGAATTGATGGCAAAAAACCCAAGGATCAAAAGATGGTTTCTGGCAATCTTGCCCTGAAGAACAACAAGGACAAAGGTCTACCCGTAAGGGTCATTCGTGGGACGAGTGGGACGAGTGGTACCAAGGCATACATTTATGAGGGCCTTTATTTCGTGACAGAGTGCTGGGAGGAGAGAGCTGAACATGGCAAAATGGTATTCAAGTACCAACTGCAAAGAGCCTCACCCCAACCAACACCGCCAAGTTTTGCTCAGCAGTTGAAAATTCCTCACAGGTCATCTTCAGAGTCAAGAGATGTCAGCTGCGTACTCACAGTGGTTGATGACATATCTCAAGGCAAGGAGAAATCACCCATACGGGTCCTAAGTGACTTGTACGCCGAGACACTGGGACCTTTCAAATACACAAAGAAAATGCTAGACCCTCATTGGTACCGCCGTTCGGCCCCACCAGGCTGCGACTGCACGAACGGATGCTCTGATGATTCCATTCACTGCTATTGCGCGTACAAGAACGGAGGCAAGACCCCATACAACAGCCAAGGATCTGTCACGATCACTGCTCCCATCATCTACGAGTGTGGGCCATCCTGCAAATGCCCGCCCTCCTGTCCAAACAGAGTTACCCAAAGGGGTCTCCGGTACACCCTGGAGATCTTCAGGAAAGTAGACGGGGGATGGGGGGTGAGGTCTCGGAACTTCATCTCAGCCCGGAGCTTCGTCTGCGAGTTTGTGGGAGAGCTGCCCGAAGACGACAGCCAGCAGAAACCAGAAGAGCCAGACAACGGCGAAGGGTTCGTTCAAGGAATTGGCGGGAGCGGTTTCAAGATCGACGCGCAACGATGGGGGAACGTGGCGAGGTTCATCAACCGCGGGCCCTCGCCGAACCTCTACGTACAGAATGTCGTATACGACGACAATTACGAAAGGGTCCCTCACGTGACGTTCTTCTCCTCCCAGAACATTACGCCCTTGCGGGAACTCATCCGCCCAGTTTGAAGTCCCCACGCTGAGCTCTTAAAAGCTTACATACATACGTAGTGCCATATCAACAGGTTTCTGCTCTGAATATAGTATTAGACTTTGTATAGAGTCAGTCAGTTTCCACTGGGTCTGAACTAACCTCTCGCTAGTGTTACATGTGAGTATATACCAGATAATCGCGCCTTGTGAAGAATCCATAGTGTTAGTCAATTACGTGTGTACCTACGTATGGAGTTAAATCTAGACGCACAACAACAGTGGGCTCAGTGCTTCTTGGTAGGGGTTTTATTCATTTTGGTTTACTCGAGTTTTGACAAAAATTAATTTTTTATTCAATTTATTTAATTATAAGTGTAAATTAAAAAATAATATTTTTATACTTGAAAGTCTATAGAGAATATACAAAATTTTAGGAAAAAAAAAGATGATATGATTATTTTATTATGAGGTTGGCAGGAAGAACATTTTTGGAAGGAAAATACTCCTAATTACACCCACCTACCTATATAGAAAAAAAAACAAAGAAATGGTGAAAGGAGTAGCTGCGGAAAGAGTCAAGATATATATAACGAACTTTACATTGTAATTAATGCTGCAATGTGTAAAGAAACGTAGTTAAAACCGTTTGACATTGATTTCGGCATCTCATTCTCTCCATCTCCTCATATTAATTAATGACCCAAATCAAACAATCTGCACATACATACATAATTAGTGAATGAAGATAGAGCTAATTAATTACATACATACATACCCCTAGCCTATAGTATAAAATAAAAAGAGCACACACCTTATCACCTTTTGAATTGATTGATATATATATATAGATAATGCACAGATCAGGAAGTGTTAGCAGAGTGTGGGATGATTACGTCAAGTACGATTCCAAAAATTCTCCACCAACAAGAGAAACCGACAAGGACGACGTAGGCACCGAGTTTGTTACCTCGTACCCCCACGACGACTCGCCGCTCTCCTCCGCGACGTCCAAGCGAGAGAAAGGCGGCCGCTCAAAGCTCGCCGAGAATGCCGTCCATTTTATCCCCTTGGTGTTGTTCCTTTGCGCTTTCATTCTATGGTTTTTATCAAATCCTGGTATATTTCACTCCTGCTGCCACTCTGTTTATTACGGAGTAATTTTTTTCTCACGTTACTTTTTAGACCGTTCACAAATTTCATTCTCATTTCGTATTTTGGCAAAAAAATGTCTAACTTTTCATCTACACTATTGAGTCTATTTGATAACATCAAGAGCAAACATAAAAAGGCTTTACATTCTTTAGCTTTTGTTAATCTTCATGTCAAAAAAGACATCTAACGAAAACATTTAGCTATAACGTTTTCACAGTTAATCTATACCATTAAAGTTTCAATGCTAATCGAAAATGTTGTTCAAACAAGGGCTAAGCTTTACAGAATATTTTTTCTTTTTAAAAAATGTTGAGATAAGTTTTTAAATGGACACCTAATTAATGATGTGAAATGAATAATGTATATATGTGTGGGCAGATATAGAGGTTCCGATGAGCGGGGAGGCGGTGGCGGCGAGAATAGAAGGATTGACGATAGAGGGGGACGTGGACAGCAGTAGTGATGGCACTCAAACTGCAGGGAATCTGCCTCTGCAAAAGACTACTGATGATGATATTGGCTTGACGACGACTAGAAATCACAATAATGATCATAATTAATTAATGCTACCTTCCTCGGTTTTTTTTATTCCATATTAATTTTTATTGTCAAAATTGATAAATTTTTACAGTTAATTAGATTCATTTTATTAAAAAATTTCAAAATATTTTTTAATCTAATTAATATATCACTACTCAGTACTCCCTCCGTTCTATAAAAGTGCTCCTATTTTGACTTTGTGTAAAAATAAGGAAGTGTTAAATTGTAGTTGACTTTCAATTTTGCCCTTGATGTGATGAGTAAAAGTAAGATGTGATGGATTGAGTGTTAGAAAAAAAATACGATGTGATAGATAGGGTATGAAAAAGTAGAGATAAAAGTGGTTTTTTAATAGAAAGTGAAAGTGTTTTGTTGGAAGTAAAAAAAATGAAAGGGGAAAAGTTTATTAGAACGGAGGGAGTATAACTTTTGTTTTATAATTTGTCAAAACTTTGAACGTGAATAACTATAAAAAGTCAAAACTAGATAAATGTTGACGAAGAGACGTAGTATAATAAGTGATGGTTTTCATAACCCTGAATGTAGTGCGTACAAGAGTTTTGTTACCATTTCATTCAATTCTAGCAAGTACTCCCTCTGTCCACCATAGATCTTCCCAGACACTATTCATAGGGTCAAACTTTACTCACTTTGTTTGCTCAATTTTACTAGTCATTTCATAAAATAATATAGTCTTCTCACCTCTAGTTTTGTAGAACTTTTCATGTAGTTTATTACTATATAAATTTTATTTTAAAATTTTACTCCTATAATCAATTAAATTGAATTGAAAATAAAGTCGGTCAAGCCTCGTAACGCGTAATGGGAAGACCATACATGGACGGAGGGAGTATTATACTTCATTCGTCCAAAAATTATTTTTTCGTTGCAAGTTATGATGTTTGACTGAAGTAATTTTCGAATTGAAACATCGTGTGGTATTTAAAAATAAAAATTACATATTTAAAATTTACATCAAAAGATCTAGGAATTTAGAGGTAACATGATTATATACTCTATCCGGCCTATAAAATGATTATATTTTTTGGAGGAAAGAAGTACGTACCATCTGAAATTATGTTCTAATAAAATGACTCACACAACATGCCCAACAAATGTCGTCAAGGGTACGTCACAAAATTTATATACGTACAAAATTTAATTTGCCAAATTGAATTAAAATGGATGAATCAGTAGAGGTAGTAGATAATGTCTCCCTTTATTAACTTTGTGTCGTCCTCCTCATCCACAGCATCTAGCGGAAACCACAGCAGCGCCACATCCTCCGCCCGCTTATACAGCCAAACCTCGCCGGCGGCAATCCCCGTCACCGCCCTGATATTCATGTACGCCATGTTCACCGTCACCCTCACCTCCTCCACCACGCCGCCGTCTCCAATATCTTCCCTCGTTGATATCACCCCATACTGCATTTCCATGCATGCATTGCATGCACATACATATATATGTTCATCATGCATTTGATATAATTATCCCCATTTATTGAAACAATTACGATAATTAATTTATTAATTAACATTAAGAATATAAAGTATATACCGTACGTACCTCTCGGTTGAGAATGAGTGGATTGGTTTTCTTCTTCACTGGAGTCAAAGAGACTGAATCTTTCTTTACGCTTATTTCAACTGCATGCATGCATGCAATTATCTATCGTCATTAACTGTTCACAACTCTACGCAATTTATTTTAGTAATTAATTAACTAACAATTAGTTAACTAAATGATCAATTAATTAATTACTGGAGTCTGAAAAGGCTGAAACAAGAGTGGTGGCATTGTAGAAGATGCGGGCATTGAGCCTAGCCAAAGGGAGGCGTGGAATGACGGATGGGTCCCTGGTTATATCGGCTATTTTCAGCATGTGATCCGGACATTTCCCATATATCTTCAACGACAAATAATCCTCCATGTACCCTCCTGCATCCATATACCCACGTTATTAATTAATTCTTCCTACACATTCTAATTGCTTATTTTTTTTTTGTCCAATTTGATCATCGATTAAATAATAATTGCACAATTTAATTAAGGAAATAATTTAATAGGTAATTAACATAAGTGAACATTATTTATGATCCACTAAATTAAAATACGTAACATCTAATTTCATTTGAAAAAAATTAAACTCGATTAATATTACTCCATATATATTAATTGCCAGGTTAATGTTAATAATTGCTAGCTGTTAAATACGGTTCAATAAATTAAATAAGAAAAATTTAATTAATGAAATAAATGAAGAAGATGAATGAAAGAGTACGGACCCACGGGGCGGTCGAAGCGGGCCCGCAAATAACCGAATTCGTTGAGGCCGTTATCCACCTCAAGAGACTGCGAGAACTCGATGGTGTCGGAGTCGTGGGCCATGGCAAAGACGGCGTGGAGGTCAACGGCCTCAACCACCGCGTTGAAGAGCTCGTCCGTCGAGTGGAAGGCGGCGAAGCCACGCGGGTCCATCTTCAGGAGGGCCGAGAAGTTTTCTCCGACTCCGTCATCGTCGCCGCCGCCGGGCCCGCACTTGAGCGTGATCATGGACTGGACGGCGAGGTAGTCGGGGGCCCAGATCAGTATCACCATCGGAGATATCTCCGGCGTCGCCGCGTGCACCGTTTCTCTCAGGCTCTCTGCGTCCACCACCTTTATTCGGAGCACCATTATATTTTCTCTTCTTCTTCTTTCTTTCCCGGCGAGTCTTATTGGATTTTCTTGCCGGGGAATTGAAGAGGGCCGACGGCGAGTCTTATTCTTGGATTTTCTTTGGGTTTGGATTCGGATGGACTACGGCGGCGTAGAATATATAATTAGCTGTGACCCTGTGTGTGAATATGGCGGGAGACGTAACGAACTAACCGGTTTTAGAATTGAAGACGATGGTTAGTTGTTCATGTTTGAAACGGCGGTTTAACCCCAAATGACCTTCTAAAAGTGGATTATGTATCTTCTAAATAAAGATTTTTTTTAAAAAAAAATCAGATTTTGTAAAAAAATCATATCCCTTTATTTATTGCTCAAATTACTTTCTTCCGTCTCAAAATTACAAGAAATAAGAATTTACTTTAAAATTCAAAAAAATAATAACTAAATTTTGAACCGAAAGGAATATAGGATAATGTTCCTTTCATATCAAAATAATATAGAGAAATTTACCTAAATTTTGAACCGAAAGGAATATTAGATAATGTTCCTTCCTATCGAAATCACATATGAGAAATTTACCTAAATAGGACTAAAACATAATTACTTTCTTAATATAGGATCATATGTTTTTATTTCCTAAGGTAGGACGTTCGGTCATTATCAACTAGTCATTATTCAAGTAAATGTCTAGCATTACTAGACATTATTCCTCCCACTAGGTCATTATTAAGTCATCTTTAGAGAATAAAAAAGTTTAAGTCCTAGATTAGGAAAGTCATTATGTTTTAATCCTATCATCTTATATGATAAGACCTTTTTTGATACATGTGTCGTAAGATTTGATCTTCACATTTACTATTTAGAGGGCTGGTGAGTGGCGATCACTCTATAATTATTTTCGACCATTTTCTGAATATTTTTTAAGTGAAGATAGGAGGTGCCAAAAAATAAAAGGAAAATATAAAATGAAATATATCATTCCCTCCGTCCCAGAGTATTCGTCCAGTTTTGACTTTTGGAATTGTTCATCTAAGCACTTTAACTCATCAAATTCTCTCAATGTGTAAGCTTAAATATAGTCATGTGTGATCTTGTTTGATTTGTCTTAACATATAGATTATTAATATATAATTTCTATAATTTTTTAATATACAAACTACAAGATAAAATGGATTAAAGAAGTGTATTGGATGGTGTGTAAAAATGAAAATGGACAAATACTCTAGAACGGAGGGAGTACTCTTTATGGTTTTGAAACCACACTAATTTTATAAATTAGTTTTAAAAACAGATGAAACATTTGTGCTCATTTTTATAACTATTGATTTATTGGAGCTATTAGGCCTAAGTTTGAAATGCACCTTTTATTATCACTTTTATACTACGTTCCAATTTCTTGATTTATTCGTTATTTCGTTATGTTGGATTTTCTAGATTCGAACTTGATGACTTTTATGAACATGAGTTAAATAAAAAATGTACAATGCAATGTACAAATTGATATGAAAATTAAGAGATTCATTAGAGTTTATATTCATTAAACTTTAGTGATGTATATAACCACCGATTCCAGAATCGTTGGATGGAGGAACCGGTGGTCGATGGTTCAAGTTCCAGTTCCATAACCTTATTTTAATTTTGTAAAATTAAATTTTTGGTGCAAGAATGATAAATATTTAGTACTTATCTGAATGTAATTTTTTAATATAAATGTAGAAACACCCTACCCAACAAAGTTGAAAAAAAATTAAAACCAATTTTGGTACCCGAAGCCCCCGGAATAGGTAACGGTACTTTCCTGGAAGCTTCCAATTCCGGTTCTCCCTGATTTCCTAAAAAGTTCCGATTCCTATACCAGTTTAAAGCATCAGCCATGTCCATACGACCATACCTAGAGTTATATTTTCATTTTCATTATTTACAAAGTGAAATTATGCGCTCTTTAACCATCCTAAACTAAAGTTCTTAATTACTAGTCAGCTCACATGTCAAACTAACGCTACTTATGTTATGCATTTTCATTATTTATTTAATAAAATAAAATTATTATCTAGTCCTCATTTATTTTATAGAATTTGTGATGTAATTTTTAAATATGTAATTTTTTAACTACACACAGATTGTTTTACATATATTGGTTTAAATATAACTTCATTTCAATATTGCTAACCGATCATGTGATTTATTTTGGAAGAGAGAGTACGAAGTTTGGACCTGATAACGGACATCCTCTTTTATCCGAATTTGGAGTAATCCGTAATTCCGTATGATTTTTTAATCTTAAGAAATGGACCGGAATAAAAAAAAGGTAGCCCAAATTTATCGAGTGCATAGATGTTAGTAACTTTGGTATCTTCTACTCCCTCAATGTCATAAAACGTTTCAAATGTAACAAAAATGCGCCTTAAAAATACACTTCGAAATATCATCTAATTTTATCCCTATTTTAGAATAAAATATAATATTATGTGTAGGATATACTACGTATATATGATTCATAACTGAATCTTTTTTAATGTATGCTTGATAATGAACCCTAAACATTGTAGAGGTGGATAAAATTACCGATTCATCATTGTTCTAAACAGACCAACATTCTAACGAACTAAAAAATAAGCTCTTAAATGATTCTCGTAAATTATATTTAGAATATGACCATCCCATTTTTAGAATAGTACGGGACGATATTTTCAAAATTAGCACAGACCTTAACTGCTAAAATGTTAAATTCATCAATAAATTAAATATTTTTGTTCCTTTCAAAAAACATTTATGTTTAATTTGTATACTTTAAATAACTAATTTTTGTTCTTAAATGACTTTGTTACGGAGTTCAACTCAATATATACACCCTTAGTATATTTTTTTTACACAAACATCAAATTCCAATTATAGTTTGTCAAAACTAGATCTAAACAATATGGAAAATGCTAAAAACCCCCCACCCTTGCTACCAACCATGCCCCCCCTACATAAACATGTGGTAGAGAGGCAAGAAAATTAAAATTAGAGGGTGGGTAGAGAGTGGGTAGAGATAAATATGTGGTGGAGAAGTGGGTGGAGGCAAAGTTGGTAATAAGGGTGGGTTGTGTAGCACGGTCCAAACAATATACTTATTGAGTAAAAACTCATAAGTTAATGCTGATGGAACCTAAAATTAAAGTATAAAATCTTATTTTTTGAACCCGCACAATGTCAAGTCAGTTCCAACTAGGGGTGCATACAAATCAAATAAAATATATTCGATTCGTGATTCGTATTCGGAAAGGATGATTCGTATTCGCTATATTCGAATCCGAATACAAATCATATTTTAGATTCGAATTATTTTCGAATTCGAATACAAATATTAATAGATTTGATTCGTTTATTATTCAAATTATTCGAATATTATAATTTATAAATAAATTTATATATATATATATATATATATATATATATATATATATATATATATATATTCGAATATATTAAATATTTGTGTATATATAAATTTATATATATTCTAACATATTTTTACTACATTTTACATTATTATAAAATAATAATTTAATGTCTTTGAGAAATTTGTTTTAAGAAAAAAATTACTAATATTTTCGAATTCGAATATTCGAATACGAATTCAAATATGTCAAATATTTATCAAATCGAATACGAATGTTTTTTAAAATTCGAATTATATACGAATCCGAATTCGAATGCATATCACTTTAATCGAATACGAATCGAATAGTGATATATTTGCTCCGATTCGATTCGTATACACCCATAGTTCCAACAATGTCGGATTGGTATTTTGTAGATCCTTAATTCTTTATCACAATCCTCCTAATTACTCCGTATAAACTAAGAGTATTTTGATATCACTATCAAATAATACTCCTAATAATAATCCTCACTAACAAACCTATCAAATTTCACATCTTTTTTCACATTTTAAATTAAGATAATGGAAGAGGGGTCATTCTTTTTTAGGATATTAAAGCCACACGTGCGTCGTGCCACGCTGGCAATCCGGGCAATCAGTGGGTCATCGTCTTCTCCCGCCCTCCCCAGCCCCTTCAAACCAGCCATATATTAATCCCTCCGGTCTCCGCCTTCAATTACAAAACCCCCAAATCCCAATTCTGAATCTCCACTGAAACTCCAAGAATCGCCCAACAATGGTGCTGCGTCTGGCCATCTACGACGCCCCCCATCTGAAAGATGCCGTCCAAGCCGTGCCGGTGTCGGAATCCAAGCACATCATGATCGTCTGGTGCCCGGAGTACTTTGCCGTCCAATCGGTTCTCCAGCTCCGCCTCCCCGGAGGGGAAAACCCCACCACCCTCCTCAAGCTCCTCCCCAACAGCTTCCTCATCTACGAGTCCACCGACCAGTTCTTCAATGCCGTCGTCGAGATCTCCGATCTTGAGCGCGTCTTCTGCTCCGCCGCGACTCTGGACACCGTCGTCTTCTCTCAGTCTCTCGAGGTCAGCAATGGAGTCAACGACTTGGGGTTCTTGCACGCCCGATTCAACCGGCCTCTCGGTAAGTCCATTCGGTTCATTCCCCACATTATTTTATGGGTTTCTTGATCACCCAATCTCTTCGTTCTTAATCAATCTTGAAGAAAAATCGAGTCTTGAAAGTACAAATTCGGGATTTCAAGAATGCATGCCCTGTTTTCTTGATTACCCAATCTCTTCGTTCTTAATCGATCAGTGAAACAGTATTCGAAATACAGTAAAAGCCAAGGAATTGATTATTATGGATTCTTGAATACCCTTTATTCCTCAAGAACAAATAAAAAAGATGAATTGAAGAGCTCCGATCTGTATCTGTACATTTTATGGTTTTCTTGATTACGCAATCTCTTCATTCTTAAACAATACATCTTGAAGAAAAATCAAGATTTCTTGAACGCATGCCCAGCTGCTTCTTGAATACCCCTTTTTTATTTAAGAACAAAAAACAAAAAAGACGATAACTCGATCATTATATATGATTTTCTGAAATACCCTGTTTTCCGGTGCCCTGTTTCCCGTCAAGCATTCAACTGTTTATAAGTTATTTTTAGTAAGGGAAAATATAAATAAATTAATTGTTTGATTAATAATGCAGTTGCAGTGCCGTGTCTGGGGGAAGAGTACAGCGAGGAAGACCACACAATATCGATGAAGATCTACGGAATGTTCCCTGAGAGCCAAGTGAGATCTGCAGACGTATCTCAAGACCCATCTCTGAATCCCCTGCCTCCCGTCGTCACCTTCCTCGCCCCTGTCTTCGGCCAAGTCATGTCTACTCTCGAAATGAATGCAATGTCTGGTACGCATCATTTATTTTATATATATATAATCCATTAATTAATGAAATATGTATGTATAATGAATGAATGAATGGGTGCATGCAGTTGTGGTGGTAGTGCACGCGGAGGAGGCGTTCTTCTCGGCGGGGGGAGGAGGAGGAGAGGGAGAGGGAGGAGAGCCGCCGTATAAGCTGACGCTGACGGGGGTGAACGGGCTGAAGTGGACGAGGGGGGACGTGAGGAGGAGGCCGGTCCGGTTCGAGATTCCGATGGCGAACTTCGAAGTGAAGCCGGGGGCGCAGCTGTCGACGGAGGTGTCACTGTACAAGCGGTCGGGGGAGGTGACGCTGGTCTGGTTCAAGCTCGACCCCGCCCTCACTTGTCTCAGGGGTGACCTCATCCACTACTTCTACTGATCCTTCCAATCCAATCCATATCCATCAATCAAGGCCCCATCGAAGCTAAGAAGATGATGATGAAACCACCAATCATCGTATACATATATACATATACAGAATATACAATACAAAGTTTGCACTATAAATACGTTAGAATCTGCAAATAATTGTCAAGTTTTTTCTAGCGCATGCCTCAATAGTTGTAGGGGACGGATTCATTTGCACCGCATGCAACTACACATTTAGCTACTTAATTACCATCTTTCATTCTCTCATATATTTTCATCTATTGCAATAATCTCTTTTTAATTTGATTTTTTTTTGGATAATACGTGTTCCCAAAATAATCTCTTTTTGAATTGGGTTTGATTAGTTATTCTTGTTATAATCAAAGTTGTTAAATTAATCCTAGTAAAATTGATGTTTATATAAAAGCTCTCTTTAACTATAAGTGTCTAATGGGCTAGTCATCACAATTTCATGTCTCTTATGACCCAATTCGTCTTTTCTTAGCTTTTATCATTATTTTCATAATTTCGAGAACCTATTTTATTCGTTCCGGCTATATATTACCTTAAATTAGATAATGTCAATTTATTTGGTAGCTAACTTTTTCAACTTTTGATACTAAAAAGTCTATTCACTAAATCAATGTAGGTATTATGTGAAACACAAATCTTCTCATAAAATCAATAAACTATCATTAAAATATGCACTTAATTTTGTATATTATTGATTTAGTAATATGAAAAGATTGATTAATGAAGTGAATGAGTTTTTGGGAAGATGGGGTCGGAGAAGGATTCAATGAAATGAAAACAATCAAACCATCCTAACATCCGCCCACACTGACCAAAACCATCCGACCCAAACTCCCTTATAACACTGAATCTCTTCCTCTCTCCCGCCAAACCGTACCGTATTACTTTCCCGGGAACACTAAACACCAGGAACGAATCCTCCTCCTCCGCCGCCGCATCACCCCCCACTCCGCCGCCGCGGATGACCGCCGTTGTCAGGAACCTGTAATAAAACGGGTCGGACTCTCTCAGATCCTTGTTGATCGACTCCGGGAATGCTTTCATCACGCTTTCAATGTCCACCCGGAACTTCACGGCCCAGCCGGAGTAGTCCCTCTCCATCTCGTAGATCTCGAATTGCGCCGTCCGGGGACCGTGGACGTCGATGAGGTGCAAATGGCCGGAGGATTCCTGCATATACCGCACCCTTTTCTGGGCGGGCAGTGGAGGCATCGGAAATTCCCCGAAACTCTCCTTCTCGGCGTTGAAGTATAACCCGTGCCGGCCATGGGTGGCGGGCCAATTGACGGCGCCGTTCCAGTACACTCCCAGCTTGTAATTGAGGTCCTTGGGTAACGGCCTCTGTAATTTCTTCCATTTTCCGGTCTCCGATGAGTAGATCTTGACGTGAAACGGGCCGGGCAAGGAATCGTCGGAGAGGACAACGAGAACAACAGTGAAATGCGGCGAAACTGCGGGATCAAATGCTAGGGTGACGGCGTTGACTCTGTTCCTCCCCTGTTTTTCCGAGAAGGGGGGTTTCGGAATTCCGGCGTAGCTCCGGGTAGTGGGATTGTAAACGTAGTAGCTGCCGGAGTTGGTGGAGCAGCAGCATAGAAGCCCGTTGCAGGATGAGAGGATTGTCATTCCGGGCTTGTCTCCGGCGAATTCCAGAGTCGTGAATGGAGCGGGGCAACCATCCAACGGTATGAAATCGAACTCCGGGACACTCGAGGTCGGGTTCGGGTTGTTGAAGATTAGGCCGGAGATGGGTTTTCTGCGGCGGCGGTGGAGGTATGGGTGGTTGATGAGGGAGAGCCACCGCTTGGAAACGGATTTGAATCGGAGGAGGGAGTTGACGGGCAATCGTCGGAAAATCTCCGTCAGGAGATCGTCGTCGGAGGCCACTTCGGAGGCAGAGTTTTTGTTGACCATTTTACCCTTTCTCTTCCCTTTTTTTCGGTGGCAATTAATGAAATGAGATTGGAACATATTTATAGATATACCACGTAATATTAATTCTAAATATAGGCACATTTGTCCTAGGCAATTATTTGATGTATTGCGTGATAACAATTCAATTTTGGATAATAATTTGTTTGTACGTCAAAATGTACATCACGCTACACAATAACCCAATTTTTATATTACATGGGAAATATTTGTTTATGTTGTCCCATACACAATTTTTCCTTTTTTTAGAAAGGGTGTCGCATACACAATATTATCGAGAGCATATTTATTTATTGTGTGACTAATTTCCTTATTTATATGAGTAATCCAGGTATAATATGAGAGTTGATTTTACGAATTCTAATCGAATTAGATTATTAACTCTCATTTTTATAATACGGAGTATTAGATTACGTAAGAAGTAATATAAAATTTTTTCTTTCACATTGTATTCGATCATCTAATTTACTCCCTCCGCCCCATTTTATAACGCCTGTTTTGGTTTACGATTTTGACTGAAATTATTTTCAAATCATTTTATATGACAAATGGTATATAGTTAAAAAATAAAAATTACATATTAAAATACTAAATCAAAATATCTACAAAACTAATAGTGATAATTATACTTTATTTTATCAATTTGCTAACGAAAATTGAGAAAGAAAGTGAATGGAATTTGACCTTGTGAATAGTGAACATACATTATAATTTGGGACGGAGAGAGTAACTTTTTTGAGATCAGAAAAATTAACTCTAAATACTCATATCATTTAGTCTCATTTGTATTGTGTATTAACACAATAAAATAAAGTTTTAAAAATTCTTAATAAGATAAATTTAATAAAATTATTTAAATACTACTCCGTAATATAATGTATACTCTTTATATAATTGAGATCTAGAATTTATCTAATTTTAATTTTAAAAAATCAAAACGGAAGATATACAACGTGAATATAGAAAACATTAATCTTAAATTTTATTAATCCAATAATGCATTTATTATTAGATTCTATATTCTCCCACCTCAAATATAATATGCCAGATCATATCCCCAGATGGCCGCATCAAATGAAAACATTATCATGTAATCTAACAAGAACTAATTAATTTTGCATCAATTGTGAAGAGTTTAGTGTGATTTTCTTCTTATTTTCTCTTTTTCAAATTATTAGTTTACTTATTATGTATGAAGGGTTATGCCTTGTTCAACAAATTATAATTCTTATCCCCTATTTGTTAACTTACCAGTAAATTTTCATCCCAATCCAAATTGAACCCACTCCCATGCCAACAATTTAAAAAACAAGTGATGGCATATTTATCTATTTTATCAAATACGGAGTAATAAATAAAAATGCATACATCAATAAAAATTATTAGAGACTAGAATAGAAAATAGGATTTCATATCTTTATTTTTGAAATAAGAGTTGAAATTCATTTACATTATCAAACATTATCATGTACATTATTAAAAATGTCCATGTACAATGTCCATCCACTCTATAAAAAATAACTCTCTGTATTTTTTAAAAATACAGAGTTTTGAATACAAATAGTTAAATAAGTTCATGTTCTCTTCTACTTAATTTTTTACTCATTACTTATTCATTACTTATTCTTCTTGGAATAAGATTGGATTAGATGAGAAATAACTTTAAATATAACTATATATATTCAGATCAGACCATATCAGATCAGATTAGAATTTATTAGAATCATATTAAAACTAAAGTAATTGAAATGAGTTACTCATCCACTAATGTCACACAATTCTCATGCACACACAATTTCTAATGAGCATGGAAAATGGATATTAAATTTTGAACAACAAACATAAGAAAATGAACAAGCAATTTTGAAGTGGTAACACTATTTTGACCACAAACATTATATAGAAAATAAAGGGCTTTAAAAAAAAATATAGACAATAAAGGTTTGTGCCCGTATATGCCTTTGAGTAGTGTTTGTTTGTGCCTGTGTAATGCATGGGAGCCACCATTTTACTCGGCGTCTTCTAGCATTTTTTTTAATACGGAGCACTTCCTTCGTTCTCATTTTGATTACACTTTTATTTTTTCTCTATTCTTCAATAACTTTTATTTGTTTGTGGGTTTTCATTGATTTTTGATAAATAAAAATATTCTTGTCATCTTTTTTCTGTGGAACTTTTGATGTAGTTTTTTAATATGTAATTTTTATACCTTATTGATGTATCAATTTCTAAATAAAATAATTTCAAAAATTGTGAAATTTACCTAATAATTCTCATTTTGTATCAAAATAGGGACCGAGGTAGCTAGCATACTTTGTGAGCAAAGCCAAGGGTGGGAAAACGTAGAAGCCACAAATGAGCCAGGCGAGGTTGTCGTTTGATGAGTATACGTTACCACCTTAATGAAGGGAGTAGCTAGCTAGCTAGAATCAAATGTGTAATAATATAACATGATCGAGAAACAACAACTCTTTACGACTTTATGGAAGAAAAAATATGAAAGAATATTGTCTCTAGCAGGAAAATGAGGTAAAAAAGTGTACAAAAGGTTTGAACCAAATGTACCTATGATGAGTTGTGTGTGGGTTGCTCTCCTAGCTAGCATTATTGTTGGATGACAACTATTCCTTCAATCCATATTTTTTTTATTTTCAATATAACACTTTTATTATTAATGTTGTTATTTATACATATATATAATCATATACTTCCTTCGTCCCACTATATTTGTTCACTTTCATTTTTGCACACCATCCAATGCACTTCTTTAATCCATTTTATCTTTAATTTGTATATTAAAAAATTATAGAAATTATATACTAATAATCTATATGTTAAGACAAATCAAACAAGATCACACATATATGACTATATTTAGGCTTACACATTGAGAGAATTTGATGAGTCAAAGTGCTTAGATGAACAGTTCCAAAAGTCAAAAGTGGACGAATATAGCGGGACGGAGGGAGTATTATAAAATTGTTACGAATGAATAGTTGATATTAAATCTAGAGCATAATATATATGATGCAAATTTTTATATACTATAGTCACAGCTCGAAATTGTAAAGATTGACGGACCTGCACAATTAGTAGGGGGCGATGCCCCCAACTAATTTTTTGTATTTGTTTTATAGTATTGCCCTAAAAAATAGAAATTATAGATGGAATGTTGGAAACTAGAGCCGTGTAGCGAGGAGATGAGAAAGCTTTGGTTAATAAGTCGGCGAGCTGGTCAGCCAGAGGAACGTAGGAAACGGCCATCTGCTCAGCATTTACTAGCTTGTTCTCATACAAAGTGACAGCCGGTATCAACATGCTTCATGGGCTTGTGAAACACATGGTTTTTAGTTGGGCAAATGGCACACTGATTATCACAAAAGAGATGTGCAGGATGAAGCTTAATCTTCAAGATGTCAAACAGATAAGTGAGCCAGAGGGCACGATATTCTGCCTTGAATTGGTAGATGACCTGAACACCCTACTTTGCTTCTTTGTGCTCCGATACCATGTTGATTTAGAGAACAATATGGATTTTACTCAAGTCAATATGGAGAATACATGGGCGTATGTATAAGAGTTCTTTAACATTGTATCAGAGCCTTGTTGACTAATAGGTCACGGGTTCAAAAATCAATGCCACCTAACTTTTAAAAAAATTATGATTTCAAGTATAAGTCTCAAAAAAGGCAACACCTATAAGTGAAGGGGAATGTTAGTTTATACCAAATAATTATTTGAATAATGATTAAAAGTTAAGTATTTATGTTAAACTAAATAATTAGTTATTTAGTAAATTATTATTTTTTATTTTATGAACTTTTTATTTTAGTTATTAGAGTACATATTTGCAATGCTTTTGTGGTTTTTTTGTCATTTCACATTGGCCGTAAAAAAAAATCTGGGTTTTTTTTCTTTCTTTTTAACCAAATTATAGTCATACATTTCTCACTTCCTCAATAGTTTTCCCATTAGTTGGACCACGATCTACACAACATGGATCATAATTTAGACTACATAACCCGGATTATTTTCACGAAGTGGGCTTCACGTAGTTCAGTCCAAAGAAATTAGTAGTCCACAAAATAGTACTCCGTTATCGAAATAGATTAAAAAAATCTCTCTCTTCAGTCCAAAAAAATTAGTAGTCCACAAAATAGTACTCCGTTATCGAAATAAAATGATTTCAAAAGATGAAAGATTTTGCCTCATAATTACTAATTTGTAATCAAATTAGGGCGGAGAGAGTATATAAATATATATTAACTGGCCCAGCCTAATCTAGATTTTTTAAGTAATTATTAGGCTAAAATCCACTATTGGTCCTTCAACTTTATCAGTTGTGCACGATTGGGGTTTCAAGTTTCAAAAGTCCATAACTAGTCCTTCAACTTTATGAGTTCTGCACTATTGGTCCTTCAAGTTTCAAAAGTCCATAAGTAGTCCTTCAGGTACACGTCAGCCCTCTAGATGAAGTCCTTTTGACAATAAATATTAAAAGTGAAACGAAATACTAGTTTCATATAATACGAGTAAATTCCACTAGGTACGACTACTCCGTATTATATGAAGCTAGTATTCCATTTAGCTTTTAACATTTACTGTCAAAAGGACCTCATCTGGAGGGCTAACGTGTACTTGAAGGACTATTTATGCACTTTTTAAACTTGAAGGACCAATAATGCATAACTCATAAAGTTAAAGGACTATTTATGGATTTTTAGAACTTGAATGACTAATCGTGCACAATTGATAAAGTTGAAGGACCAATGGTGGAGTTTAGCTTAATTATTATGAACATTTTAAATTGAGCTCATTAAATAAAATGAGGAAATAAGAAAATATTCTCTTAAAGATGCCCCTGGTTCTCTTATAAAAGGGAAGTCATCTTACCAAGAAGAGGAGGTCATTTTTTTATTTACCAATTCTTAGTGATTGTTTCATTAGTTCTAAGAAACTATTAGGAGTTTACCAATTGTCAATGACCTGAAGTTTCTTTGTTGATGAAGTGCTGCCAAAAATTATAAAATCGGCCTTGAGACATTTTAGACCAAACGCCCCATGCCAAATTTTATTTCCACTTCTATATACTTCCTTAGTTCCAAATTTATCACTTAATTTAATATTCTAGATTTTTTGATAACTTCTTTTTACATGTATTTAGATTGATTATTAAATATATAAACTATGCATGTCGCCACATCTTTTTTAGAACTATTTATGTAGTGTTTTTTATTTTTATACTACTTCCTCTGTCCAAAAATTATCTTTCCCTTCAATATTTACAGGGTTAAACTTTTTTTTTACTTTGTTGACTTATTTTTGTTGGTTATTGGATAAAATAATATAGTCTTGTCACATCTAACTTTGTAGATCTTTAGATATAGTTTTTAAATATGCATTTTTTATTTTTAAATTTCACATCATTTTTCATATAAAAAAATTTGAAAATAACTTCACTCAAATATTGTAACGCACAATGATAATAACAGTTTTTGGACGAGTGGAGTATCAATTTGTAAAGAAATCATTTTAAAAGAGAAATTATTTATGTAATTCGAAAGAGTACGATAATTTTGAGAGTAGAGATAGTGATATTTTTTGAGACTACAAATAGTGATATTTTTATTTTAAAAAATACTCCGTATACTATACAGTTTTCACTTTTCGTTTGTCTCGTTATCTGTAAACCAAATGAATAGTCACACTATATTTAGAAAAAAGATAATGTATTAAAATAAAATAGGGAAGAGATAGGATTAAGTGGTTGAATCAACGACAAAACTGGTAACCATCTCGCAAAACAAACACTTTTGTCCATCACTTTATTATTGATAAAAAAAAACGTTAGAACACTAACTCTAAAGGTCCCTTATATATATATATCGATCCAAATAATAATTTGGAAAAAGTTAATTAAAAATATAATTTTAATCTGATCAATAGAAAATAAGTTTTTTAAGATTTATTTATAGTACGTACGAAAGTGATATCTATTGCATGACTACTTTTTATTGTATTGTTTAGGAACAACGTTTTCAATTAGTATTAGTATTTTTTATAAAATTTAAACGATTTAGATTAATTCTGAAAACGTTAATGCAAAAGGTTATTGTCAGATAACTTTTTGAAAAAGTTAACGATAATCTCTAATATTCTAACGCTGATGCCAAACGAGACCTAAGAGGTAATGAAATTTTCTTTGTAAAAATTCCAACGAGCTAGGTAGAGAATACTTGTAAGTGGTAAAAGTGGAAAAATTGACTAACAATATAGGAAATTTGACCACTATCAGTAGGTGTTTTCCAAATTAGGACTCGTGTAGTTTTTTTTCTTTTTTTAACCATTGGATCTGGAACTATTTTTAAATGACGGTCCAGATTTAGTTCTCCATTTAAGATGTATTCTCCCCCTCCGTTTACGGAACTTTAAGGCAGCAACTTCCTCCCTCGCAAAAAGATATTTCCATTTTGATTTTTTAGAAATTTTAGAAAGAAATATTTTATGTTGCAAAAATATCTGTGATGGACAAAAGTAAGATATGATATGTAAATTATTATTAAAAAGGTATGATGTGATGAGTAAATTTAGAATTAGTAGAGATAAAAATGACTTTTTAATAAAAATGAGAAAAATTTCGCGAGACATGTAAAAAAAGAAAGGGGAATAAACTTTTGAGGCCGAGGGAATATGTGATTAGTGTTTTTGGGAAAATTGAATATTTAGAGAGTAATATATGTGTGTTCTTTCTCTTAAACAAATTCATTCAAAGCCTTGTAATCTTAGTCAATTCTTATTAATTTTAAAATCATATTTCATTGAAAGGAAAATTCTTATGTAATTTTTATATTCACTCTCACTTTGTGGAACTTAATATGATGCATAAGTATCATAAAATAATTTGACTTTTTTGTAAAAACGAACAAAAACACTTATAATAAAAATTAGTAATAAGTAAAAATAAAAATACTTATGATCTGATTGCATCGTCTGATCTGATTTTAATAATAATAAGTAATAAGAAAAAAAATAAGTTGAAAGAAGCGCAACCGATATTGATTGTAAATTAGACTTTTAATTAAAATATGTGTGAGTAAATGTAATTGAATCACCACATGCTCAGAGACTTTCAGGATTAATCCATAAATTTGATCTAGCAAGATTACTCGAATTTCGTCAAAGGCGGTTCGAAACACCTGTCGTCTAACAATCAAATGTACTCCGTAATTGAATTAAACTAAAATGAAATCTAAAAGAAAACTTATTGTTCAAGGCATCTCTTTAAACTTTATTGTTTATGAAAAAATACTTCTTCAATCTCAATGTTATTGTTAACTATTTTTTGTTCAAACTTTATTTTCTTTGTTTGTTAATTTTTGACAAGTTATAGAATTTAATATGGCGTAATGTCACTAGAGTGGATATAGAAGCTTGAACGGAAACACATTAAAACATGAAGAAAACTTACTACCTAGCCCAAATTCAACCGTCTATAATATACTCTGTATATAATTCCCTATAAGCCCTATTTTGATGTTTGGATATGGTACTCTACAACTCTATTTTGAAGTCATCCCAAATTTTTTAGTGGGACTAGACCATAATTTGTCTCAAAACAAGATTTATTTTTTGATTTTACAATGTTTAAGACAAATGTACTCAGATACAGAAGAAAAAAGTACTCACTCCGTTTCTCATAGGTGTTTTCGTTATCCTTTTTTAAATATTTTTTTAAGATTTAAAATACCACAAGTAATTTCACTTACTTTATTTATTATACATCACCATCCCATTTATTATACTCCAGCCATTTTACATTAAGTGTAACTAAAATTTATCTTTGACCAAAAAAATAATTTTTATTGAATTTAAGAGGAATACGAAGTAACGTGAAATTATACTCCCTCTCTCCCTCTTGGTTCTCCCAAGTTGACCTAAGCCGTAAACTTTTTAAAATTTTGAGTATAAATTACGAAAAAAATACATTGAACTATGATATAAACTTAATATAAATAAATTTATCTTGATATATAATTTTGAAGTTTCATAATTTTATATTTTCTCCATCCCAAAAAGATTACTACTATGTATTTAGGAATTTCCCTATTTTTTTTTATCTTTCTTCAAAAGCGACGATGCTTCCTTTCTCCGCCTATGAAGCCTCGTGCGAACCATCCTTGGAAAACCCATTTTCTCATCCTTTATATAATCGCCCGCCCGCACCCACTCTCTCTACCCTATCCAAACTCCATCTTTTCTTCTCTTTTTCTTTCAATTTCAACTCTCAATTTCAAAAGACAGAAAAAAAGGAGAGAATAAATGGCATCACCGGATGAAGCCTCTGCACTTGACCTCATCCGGCACCACCTTCTCCTCGACTCTGTTTTTCTCGAGCAATTCTCCTCCCCGCCGGAGCCGCCGGCTGTTTCCAGCCCCACCAAGAGGTTCTGCGAGAGGAAACCCACTCTGAGTATCGCGATTCCGAGACCTCAGGCGAAGAAATCGGCAGCTCAAGAATCCGGCGAGATCAAGAGGCACTACAGGGGAGTGAGGCAGAGGCCGTGGGGGAAATTCGCGGCCGAGATCCGCGACCCGAACCGGAAAGGGTCCCGGGTTTGGCTTGGGACCTTCGATACCGCCGTGGACGCCGCCAAGGCTTACGACCGGGCGGCGTTCAAGCTGAGGGGAAGCAAAGCCGTGCTCAATTTCCCGCTCGAAGTCGAGAATTTCCGGCCGGGGGACGACGAGTCCCAGCCGCCGGCGGTGAATTCGTCCCGGAAAAGGGCAAGGCAAACTCGCGCCGGGGATGAACTGGCGGTGATTAAGGAGGTTAAGATGGAAGTGGAGGAAGTGTCAAGTAACGGGACGGACGACGGAGTCCCGACGGCGGCGGCGGCAGCTCCTTTAACGCCGTCAAGTTGGATGGCGGTGTGGGACAGTGGTGAAGCGAGGGGCATATTCGAGATTCCACCTTTGTCGCCAAATGTATACGGTGGTTATTATGGGATTATTAAAGTTTAATTACTCCTACGGAGTACACTTGAGATGTTTTATTGTCAATCATTAATTTAAACATAAATGATGCTACAAAAATAGGAAGTTGGATAAGGTTTTTCTCCGAAATTATTTAATTTAAATCCACGAGGGCATATAGGTTTTGGTTTGAAGTAATTAATGTAAATATATATTCTTAGTCTTGTTTATTTACAGTATCTATTTATTGGTTTAGTGAGTATTTACTTAATGCAAGATACTTTCAGTTGGAGTAAAACATGGCTAAATTAGCAAAGAGTAAGAAAACACATCTTCAGTTTTGCATCAAAAGTATCAAGGGGTGAATTAAAAGTAATTAATTATTCACACAAATAAATAATTTCATTCTAGGAAGTTTCACATTTTTATAATAACATCTCAATCAAGAGTTGTGTTATTGTGAGCCTTACATTCACAAGTAAATGTGGAACTTTCCGCATATTTTCAATACTCTCATACTTGGATTTCTTTAATTTTACAAACTCATCACATAAAATTATTTTTACGTGTGAATGTCCATAAAATAAGCATTTGACCTAATGATCACTGAAGAATTTGTCCTCAAAATCAGATACCCTTTAAGTCGTATACAGACAAGAAATATGAGTGTTTCTTTTCTGAAAAGAATGTCACAGCTTACTATTTGAAATCCACGTGAATCTTTGTCTATTTTTATTATTTTATTAATTATTTGACAAAATAAAATATTTTTGTCATCCTTTAATTTGAAGAAGTAAAGTACTGTACACGTAATTTTTAAAGATGTACATTTTAATTTTTATTTTCTATATCAATCTTTAAATATAGACGCATTACTCAAAAGTTAAAGTTAAATCAACAAGGGCATCAATATATGAAAGGAATTAAAAAAACGTGCAAAATATAAAGCACAAAGTTTGGTGGGCATATTAAAAGTGGAGCTAAGATTAGATTAAGTTCAATGAACACAGCGAGATTTTTGAATCGGACTTCCCAACCATACTAAAAGAGTCAATTTCATTTCGACATCTGGGCCCTACTTTGCTTGTCGGTCCTTATAATTCCCTAAATTAAATCATTGTTTTCAAAGTCTTTGGAACAGTGTTTAGGAAACCGGACCGGACCGGTCGGTCCAACCGGCCGTGTCACTAATCCAGTCCGATCCAATTGATAAACCCAGTTTTCAATTGACCCGTCCAAACCCGCCAGACCCGTAGAACCGGGTTAATTTTAAAAAGTAGGGAAACTGGTAGGTTTCGAACCCAAGACCAAAGGGATTACAAAGTAGGAGCCTATTGCCAACAAGCTATTCACGTCCTGCGGAATATGTTGGCAGCGATATTATATGTATACTACTTTACAGTTTACATATGTGATATACAAAACAAACTAATACAAGTACGTTTTTTTGCAAGTATGCATTTATATTTTATTCACTGTATGCATTTTTTAAATAGTTTCAAAAAATTCAAAATTATTTAATTTTTTTTCAAAATCAAATATACATGGTAAATTTAATACTTGAAAGTTATTGTTATTTTTAAAACTCAAGTGATATTTAGTGTTTATAATTTAATATCCTAATTTTTTTCCAATCATTTTGTTCAACTAAATATAATATTTAAAATGTCAATTGTATAAAACAATACACTATCTAGTCTTTACTTTTTGAGAATATGTGTATCGCACAAATATTTAAATAATTATTAGAAATTGATTATCAATTTTTAATAATAATAAAAATAATCAAATACAAAATAAAAGGTGTGAAATAGCATATGCACAGTGATACTAAAAACTAGATGGAAAATAAAAAATAAATTAAATTTTTTATCTAATATATAATATAAAATGTTATTATTATAAACATTGTTTGACCGAGTCATTGACACTCGGTTTGACTGGTTCGACCGATCAACCCTTGAACCATTGCCTCATCCGAGTCGACGTCCGGTCTGGTTTTCAGAACATTGCTTTGGAACAGCTAGAGAAATACAATATCTCGTTCGTCCATTGAAAATTTGAAAAAACTTTTGATTGAATTGATTTTTGACGTTGTGTTCGAATATAATTCAATATGGATATTTAATGATTTCTTCCTTTTTTATTTAGGCTATCTGAATATTTAGTGTATGATTATAAAATTAAATTTATGAATTTGATTCAGGACAAAGTACCATATATGTCAGTGTAGTATCTAAAAATATTTAATTACTCCATGTATTCATAATTGAAAAAATTCCGAGACAAGAAAGAATTATTGGACTGAATTCGACAAAGGGAAAAATGCACTCGCTGACTTCCTTTGAAATTTCTTTTTTTTAATTTTGCTCAAACGAAGTCGCTGACTTCCTTTGAAAAAACTTTTTTCTCAAAGAAAGTCGGCGACTTCCTTTGAATTTACTTTTTGTTGACTAGTTTTCTTCCTCATCTTTTACTCTTTATATGGCCAAACACGTGACTTCTTTTTTTTTCTCAAAGGAAGTCGCCAACTTCCTTTGTCACTGATTGGAAATACTTTGGCTTTTTTGGAATTCAATCAGCAAAAACTTCCCTTTCTCGGAAGTTACCCTTCATAATTGGAGCAATTTAGTTATATATCTGTCTTCACATTATTTATAGTTCAATTATGACATGAAAGTGTTGCATATACATTTGAAAAAACTATTCTTTACCTAATGCAATATGCATTTTCTTGTTCTTTTTCTTTTGAGTAAAAAATAAGAGAAAAAATTGTTTATATTATATAACGACTAAAATTAGATAAGAAAATTGTACTATCTCCGTCCCAGAGTATTTGTCCACTTTCATTTTTACACATCATCCAATGCACTTCTTTAATCCATTTTATCTCGTAATTTGTATATTAAAAAATTATATAATTTATATATTAATAATCTATATGTTAAGACAAATCAAACAAGATCACACATGACTATATTTAGGCTTACACATTAAGAGAATTTGATGAGTCAAAGTACTTAGATGAACAGTTCTAAAAGTCAAAAGTGGACAAATAGAGCGGGACGGAGAGAGTAGTATGCCCAAACAGTACCTCAATGTCAACTATTATAAAATTAGGTGTCATTACTAAGAATCAGGGGTGAAATATAGGAAGTGAAGAGACTAAGTTGCTTGTTTTGAGTACAAAGATTAGCTTGAATATTCTTAAATAGTACGGAGTACAAGGATCTCTAAAATACTTTGTCCATTTTAGTTATATATTTTAGGAAAAATTACCCAAAATAATCTCAACTTTACCCGGTCTTTCAAAAATAATCCCACATTTCACTGTGATGCATAATAATCCCAACTTTACTGAAATTTGCCAGTTTTGGGTCGCCGTTAAGTTTCTAACGGAGGGTTAACGGAAATGCCCGTTTTAGGCAACAAAATGAAAGTTGGGATTATTTTTGATGAATTTTCATTTTTTTTTATTTTTTAAAATTTTTCATTTAAATTTTTTAAATTACTTTCTACCTCCATCATCATTTCTTTTTCTTTTTTTAAAGATTAGTCTTAGTTTAAAAAAATAAAAATAATAGAAATAAAAAATGAAAAAATGAAAAATGTAACTAAAATGATACAAAAATAATAAAATAAATAAGGTAATCAATGGAAACTAACTTGAAATTGGTAAAAGTAAAACAAAATTATACGGGTGGGTTTAATATTTTACACATTATACAAAGTATTAACATATCACTTCTTATTTTTTAGAAAAAAATATCTACAATAATTCCAACTTTACCGGACGGCTTGTTTTTTTAAAAAATAAGTAGTACATTAAGACTCTGTATAGAGTGTAAAATGTTAAAACCTACCATTCTGTATATATTTATTTTATTTCTTACCAGTTTCTGTTTAATTTCTATTGATTACATTATTTATTTGATTAATTTTGTATGATTTTAGGTATTTTTCTCATTTTCATTATTTTTTATATCTATTTTTGTTCTAAGGTAAGAACAATCTTTAAAAAAGAAAAAGAAATGGAGGTTGAAAGTAATTCAAAAAATATAAATAAAAATTTCAAAAAAAAATTAAAAAACAAAAATTCATCAAAAATAATCCCAACTTTAATTTTGTTGCCTAAAACGGGCATTTCCGTTAACTCTCCGTTAGAAACTTAACGGCGACCCAAAACTGACAAATTTCAATAAAGTTAAGATTATTATGCATCACAGTGAAAGGTAGGATTATTTTTGAAAGACCGGGTAAAGTTGGGATTATTTTAGGTAATTTTTCCTGTATTTTAAAACATGATCGAAAATTCAATTCTTCAGAGTTAAAGAGGATAAGCCACCAAATGACGAGTAATGAATTAAACAACGAAAATACCCGCACGGGTAACCCAAGTGGCAAGCACTTGGTGAAATTTGGAGAATGACCAATGATCGAAACCTGACAGCGACCGTTGTGGAGGCGACCACCTCTGAAAAATGGGGGGAGTCTCTGGTGCGCACTAGGATATGGTCTAGCTAAGTGTTGTGTTTGGGTCACCTTGATTTATCTTCTCTCACATTCCCGTCGGATCGGGGGTAAGGGGCGCCCGGGGTGAGCGATTTCACCTTTTGGAGAATGAATTAAACAACGAAAAAGATCAAAGTTTGATCATTTTTTTCAAATGTATGAAACTCTGAAATACTTCCCACTCCATCAGTATCCTTCTGATTGAAAACAACAACAATAATTAGAAAATTTACAGTTTCTTTTCACCTTTTACTTTATATCACATCAAATCAATATTTCACCTTCAAATTTAAACAACCTTTTTATTTTCTTTTAGTACTCCCTCAGTCCCTAAATATTTACCACACTTGTATTTTCGAGACGAAATATCAAGTTTTTTCAATTTATTTTATTTACATATTGGTATAGAAATAAAAAATAAAATTTACATATCAAAAAATTACATGAAAAGTTTTTCGAAATAAGAGGTGTCAAGAATATTTAATTTTATTCCCTCCGTTCTAAAATTAATTTCTCATTTGACTTTTCACGGTCTCCAATGCGACACTTTGACCATTAATATCTCCATTTTTATATGAATATGTATTATCAAAATAGTATATTTCAAAACTATGTTTCAAAATGAATCTATTGATACTAAATTTATATGAAAATTCAATATATTTTTTTCCGTAATATACAGTCAAAGTTTAAAAACTTTGACTGCAAAAGTCAAAATGGGAAATTAATTTTAGGACGGAGGAAGAATCAAATAACCAATGAAAACATAGAAATAAATAAAAGTTCTCGCGACTGCTGAAAAAGCAAACGTTGCAAATAATTTGGGACGTAGGAAACACTTTTTAGCCCTTTTAAACCTATCATATCACTTTCTAATCACTGCTCTCTTTATATTTTTGTACTTTTATATCGCAATTAAGATGAGTACTCCCTCTGTCTAATAAGTTGGTTTTCCCATTACGTATTGGCCTTGTTTGGATACTAGCAGTTGACAGTTGGCTGTTGGCTGTTTATGTTAGCTGATTTGAATGGCTGATTGAGTTAGCTGTTTTGACCGGCTGTTTCTGTTAGCAGTTAAATTTTAAGTGTTTGGCAACTTTAGCTGTTTATAGTTAGCTGTTTGTAAATAAAATTACATAAAAGGACATCCCTCCATTTATGGTATATTTTATTTTACAATTTTTTTAAATATCATATCATAAATATATTTTTTTAAAATTAAAAAAATTAAATAAAAAATTATATATATATATATATATATATATATATATTTTT